AACTGCAGTTTCAGTCAGCTGCTCTTCTGGTTCCCATGAGTTGTGTTCAGGCCCATAGCCTTTCCACTTGATGAGGAACTCTCGTACTGTCTTGCGGCCGCGCTATCGATCACGATGCATCAGCACTCGTTCGACTTCATAAAACAGTTCCTCCCCCAGGACGATCGTTGGTGGCGGCAAGTACTTGCCCTCTGCAACGTACTTGTTCAACAGAGACACGTGGAAGACGTCGTGAATCTGTAGTGTATCAGGTAGCTAAAGCTTGTAGGCCACCACACCAACACGCTTGATCACCTCGAATGGCCCAATCCATCGAGGGAACAGCTTTCGTGCTCCAGGGATTTTGAGACGAATGTTCTTCGTGCTCAACAAAACTTTGTCTCCAACCTCAAACGAGACTTCCCGGCGTTTCATGTCGGCGTAAGACTTTTGTCGCTGCTGAGAGAGTTGCAGCCAATGGCGAGCAGACTTGAGCGGTTCTTGCTGCTTGCCAACAAAGTCTTTAGCGGCTGGAATTTTCAATCCACCGATCCCATGCGTAGCAGGTGTTGTGGGATGCCGACCATAGTTCAGAATGAAAGGTTTCTCACGTGTACCTTCATGAACTGAATTGTTCACTGAGAATTCAACGACAGGCAACAACTCGTCCCAATCATCCTGAGTTGGGCCAATGAATGAACAAAGCATCTGCTCAAGTGTCCGTTTTGTTCGTTCCGTCTGCCCATCTGTTTGTGGGTGGAACGCCGATGACATCTTGAGCTTCGTCCCTAGTGTCCGTGTGACTTCTTGCCAGAACCGGCTTGTGAAGCGCGGATCCCTGTCGGACACCAATACACGTGGTAACCCGTGTAAGCGGAAAACGTGCGCCACAAACAATTTGGCCGTATCTTCCGCAGATACGTCAGTTGTAGTAGCCACGAAATGCACCATTTTTGTCAGACGATCCACAAACACTAGGATCGCTGTATGGCCATCGCGAGTCTTAGGAAGGTCCGTGATAAAATCCAAGGATACGCTCTCCCAAGGTTCATTCGGGATCTCGAGTGGTTGAAGCAAACCACCAGGCTTCTTTGTGTCCGTTTTATTTCGTGCGCATGCGTCGCAGCGCGCCACGAATTGCTGGACCTCAGTGCCCAATCCCGGCCACCAGTACACATCACTCAGGGCCCACCTGGTCTTCTTGACCCCTAGGTGTCCTCCGTACTTGGTGGCATGCACTTCTTCCAGAATATCATTCCGCAGGTTACCCACGTGAGGTACAACAATCTCCTTCTTACGCCACCAGAGCTCATGCTCCCACTTGATTTCCTTCGTGTTTCGTGGGTTCTAAAACCAGGAGTCAATTTGATACCCTGTGCGGATGCGTTTCAGGAAACCACTGAAGGTAATCTCACTCACTCGAGCCATTGCTAGGACACTGAAGCAAGCCAAAAATACCGCCGCATCCTCTGTCTCGTCTAGCCGTGTTGCTGCCCCTATCGGCTGTCTGCTGAGGGGGTCAGCCAGGTTCGTCGAACCCGCTCGATATCGAATATCAAAGGTGAACCCACTAAAGAGTTCCGCCCATCGGGCTTGACGTCGAGTAAGCGTGGCTTGGGTGGAGAAGTAGGTGTTTGGACAGTGATCAGTCGTAACCACAAAGTCCACACCCCCCAGATAACATCGCCATGTACGTAGCGCATGAACGACCGCCAACAGTTCTTGTTCGGATGTCGTATAGCGCTGCTCTGCCGGGGAGAGCTTTCGACTCTCAAATGCCACTGGTCTCCCTTCTTGCAAGAGGACCGCCCCAATCCCAATCAATGAGGCGTCAGTAACAACCTCATAGGGCTTTGTCGGATCTGGTAAAACCAGTACCGAAGCATTGGTCAGCATTCGCTTGACCTCGTCGAATGCCTTTTGGCATTGTTGTGTCCATTGCCAAGCACTACTCTTGCGAGTGAGGGCCGTCAATGGAGCAACAACGGTAGAATAATTCTGCAAGAATCGACGAAAATAGTTCGCCAGTCCCAAAAACGACCTGATTTGACCCACATCTTGTGGTACCGGCCAGTTCTGGACTGCGACAACTTTCTTTGGGTCTACTTTGAGACCATCATTTCCCACGAGATGGCCAAGATATTCCAACTCGCGTTTGTAGAAATGACACTTCCACAGATGAGTATAAACCTTATGCTCTCGAAGTTTCCCTAACACCCACTTAAGGTGTCGCGTGTGCTCTTCTTCCGTCCTGGAGTAAACCAAGATGTCATCCGGATAGACTAGAACGAACTGTCCAATCGCCTCCCGAAAGACATCATTCATAGCTCTCTGAAAAGATGCAGGAGCATTGGTCAAGCCAAAGCTCAGCACTCGCCACTGAAAATGACCAAACGGCGATCGGAAAGCCGTCTTGGATACATCTTCTTCAGTGATGCGCAATTGGTGATACCCCTGCGCGAGGTCCAATGCGCTGAACCACTGGGCACCCTGGAGTTTGTCGAACATGTCCTCTATTCTCGGTAGGGGATACCTGTTCTTCACCGTTATCTTATTCAGAGCACGGTAGTCTACGCACATGCGTAACCCTCCGCCCTTTTTGTTCACGAACAAGATCGGCGCTCCGTAAGGTGATGCGCTTGGTTCAATCCATCCCTTCCTGAGATACTCCTCAATTTGCTGTTTAGCCTCCTCGTACTCAGCTGGACTGAGGCGATACAGAGGTCTAAAAGGTGGGAGTTTTCCAGGCTCCACTGGAATGGTGTGACCGACAGCACGGTCCGGAGGAAGGCCATCTGGGATGGGCTCAAAAACCTCCGCAAACTCGTCCGCCAGTGCTTTCATCTGAGGCGGGAAATCCTCGACCCCAGGCATCTCGTGTTGAGCATTCTCAAGCTGTACCACAAAGAAGGTATCTGCTTGTCGAACATGCTGTCCGAACTCATTTGCGAGCGCAAAACTCACATCGGGACGCTTCGACGTTTGTTGTTCGTTCGTGATCAAGTCCTTAGGCACTTGCCATTGGACTGTGTCACCATTCTTTAAGAATGAGACAGTATTGTCCTGGAAATCGAGCTTGACTTCATTCGCTCGAAGCCAATCCATTCCAAGGACAAGGTCGACGCCTGCAAGAAGGGGTAAAACATACGCGCAGATCTCTTCGTGATAACCCTCAATCTCCATGTTGATCCGTGTCTGCCCTTTGCTTGGGATGATGCTATCATCACCCAGGAGAATGGGGCAAGACGGTCCTTCAACGAGGATCGTGCGTGCTGTAGCCCACTTTTCGTCAAAGAGGGAAACAGTTGCACCCGTGTCAACAAGGATTTTTGCGTTTTCCCCGTTCACGCTACCCGCAAGCAACAAATTTTGTTGATGCTTTGGGCGAATAGGACATGCCAGAATACTCGTCGAATGTTTTAAGTACACCTTGACGTTGTGACGAGCGCGTCCATGTGACTGAGAGTTGGTCCACCACACATGGTGTCCCTTGTCCCACGCCGCTAGGACCGGCCATCCACGAAGCGCATGGAACAATTCGCCTTTCACTGTGCGAGTCACCAACGCGACCGAAGTCAGGGGGTGCTCTTGAGTGCAATGACTCACAATCTCAATGACAGAAGGCAGAATGTCCAAGCCACAGAAAATAATTGAAAATTTAGCTTGCATTGCTTCCATGGAAATTTTCTCAAGTGGGTACGATCGAGGATAAAAAACAGAGTTTTTATTAAAAGAAGAGGCAAACAAACAAGAGACTTTGCAATCAACAAGCTTCTCTAGCTTTAATATATCATCATCACATAGCACATATGCCTCATCCACTCGATCTACTCCTCCAACTAGGTACCCACACCCTAGTTGGGCTTCTCAAAATCCTTCTTTCCAGAAGATCCAGCGCCGTCTTGCTTAGGCTTCCCAGAATACTTGATTGGGTTCTTGTTACGGCACTGGGATGCGATGTGCCCCATCCTTCCACAGCCTCTGCACCGCTTGTCGGAGAAATCCGGCTTGTTAGGACCATGACCTCCCCCTCCGTTAGGCCTCTTGGCTTGTGGACCCAGCTGGTGATCACGCTGCGAGAAAGGCCTTTTGTTCCTACCGCTTCCACCCTTCGCATTCTGGGGCCGGTTCCCATGACCACCAGGGCCTTCAGCACGGGGCTGCTGGCCTGTCTTTTCGGGGCCAAAAATGTACGTGCGAATGATGTTGTCGGTTTTGATCACCTGCTCCTTCATCTCCTTGTAAGTCGTCCAATTGGTCATGCCGCCGGTCATGTGTGCCTCCTGCAGGTTGACAGGGAGGCCCTTCATGAAGATGTGCATCATCTCTTCCTCAGCCAAGGGCTTTTGGAGCAAGCGTGCTGTGGCCTCAAACTCGACCGCATAATCCTGCACCGAACGGTCATGACACTTGATACGCTCAAGGCGTCCGCGCAGTTCCAGGTCGGACTTCTTGACCATGAATGCCTCTTTCAGCGCGGTGCAGAACTCCGGCCATTCAAACGGTCACTGTGCCTGCTTCTTAGCGCCATACACTGCCCTGCGGGCCACCTCGTCCAACGCACGAGTAGCTGCAGTGACGCGAGCCTCGGGGCGCACATTCGCAAGGATCATGGTGGAATCCACCAGGTTGAGCCAAGGCTGCACCTCCGTCTTGTTATGGTTAAACTCAGGCAGAGGCGCCGAGAGAGACCCAAAGGGCGAGGTCTCAGTTGGAGGTGGCTGATGCATAGTCGCAGCGCCTACCGCCGGGGGTGCGGGCGGAGCGGGTGCCGGCTGAGCAGCAGGAGCGGGCCTACGCCCAGGAGGAGGTTCGTAAATACCCTCCCTCCTAAGATGGGTCAACTGTTCATTGAGCTTGTTGAATGATGCTTGCAGATTCTTGCAAGTCTTCTGAAACCACTCAATTTGGCGGTTTTTAGTGCCCAGGCTGCGACGGAACTTAGTAACCTCCTTCATGGTAATGCTCAGCCTAGCCTCGAGGTTCTGAGTGTGCTTCTTGAGTCCATCAATGGACGTCTGCTACTGCAGGATGGTGATATTCTGAGTTGCCACCTTAGCCTGGAGTTGGACAATCTCCTCGGAGATAGGATAAGTCATGCCTTCACCCTCAGTGAAGTCATTTTCATCACCAGAGGCCTCCTTTCCATCGGTGTTATCCTCTTCCCCAAGGTTGTCAGCCTCACCATGGTTCTCAGCTTCACCATGATTCTCAGCTTCACCATGGTTCTCAGCTTCACCATGGTTCTCAGCTTCACCATGGTTCTCAGCTTCACCATGGTTCTCAGCCTCATCTCCAAGGTCCAGGTCCAAGTCCTCAACATCATCCAACTCAAGGTCAGCCATTGTCTCATCTTGATTGAGGTCAATCTCAGCAGCATTGTTCACCACCTCTTTAGGTGCAGTGGGCCCTTCCTCCCTTGCCATATCCTTCTCTTGGCCAGATGCCATAAGGATTAAGGGAGCTTGTAAGATTTGGGTTGATTCTGTTAAAGTCTTTTTACCACCTCAATGGTAAAGCAAGAAATTCTTATAAAAGAAATTTCTTCCACAGAATAATCCAAGTTACCAAAGGTAACAGATTTGTTGTCAAGCACTCCCAATCACCTAAGTGAAAGGGCAGGGTCTATCCAAATCTCAACGAAGAGAACTTGTATAACCCTCAACAAATCCTCCAGATCCAAGTTTATACTCCACTACTCAACAGTAGAGAGTCTTCCACCAAAAGGTGGGCAAGAGAGATAAATCTCTCTTCTTAGCTTGAAGTTGCAGTTGTAGATCTTGTAGATCTTGAACTCTTCAAGCTTCCAGATCTTGAGTGTTCTCTTAATGAGAAACCACAACTCCAAGATCTATATATAAAAAAAAAATATAGGGGCAAAATTCCCACTAGGCTTAGGATAACCTTAGCTCTAGATACCAATGTAACAACCACGGCCCTTATAACAACGGCAACCGTGTGTTAAATATAGATCCTCCTTAACAATTTATTTAAAATCAAGATACAAGGCTTTCAAGATTAAACTAATCCCACCAAGGGATATTCTAGCCTTAATAGTGACTTGAAGAGTTGATGAAGCTTTAGTAGGTAGGTAGCTAGCTTCTGGTAGAGCTTATCCTTGAGATAACAGAAGTCTAGTTGTGTAGGAGAGCTTATTAGGAGAACCAAAGACTTAGAGTGAAAATCCCATTTCCAAGTTAGATTGTTGGAGTTGGGAAGTGGGAATGAGCTTGAGAGCTCCAACCCCTTCCATCATACCCCTTGGGGCTCTTCCCAACCATGGCTTCCATGGTTGGGGAGCTAATAGGCTTGGAGCCTATGTGGCACTTTAGTTTGGTTGGGGAAAACCCAACTTAACATAATTGTATGGTTGTTTTAAACTTTGTGTGGATTGTAACAACTGTCAACTTCCCATTGGTTGGAAATCCAACCTTGCACATTCATTTGCTTGGGTTGGAAAAAACTTCCCAATCTTCACTTTTGTTGGGTTGGAAAGTCCAAAGCCTCAAAGTTGAGGTTTGGAATACCAAGCCAACCTTTCTCTCCCAACTCAACCTTCAACTCCCGTAGTCCGATTTCTGTCGAGACATTTCTCGACCTAGACTAGGAAGAAGTTAGGTGGTGCGTTACACCCCTTTCACACACCCCTTGCTGCACCCCTAGCTCCACTCCCACGTCACCCCCCTAGCACCACTCCCTCGGCTCCCACACACCCACCCCCCTCAGCGGCAGCTGCAGCAGTGGGAGACGAAGGTGGAGGAGGAGGAGGGGACGGTTCACACACCTGCCACCCCCATACCCTCCCCCCACTGCTGCACCTGCAGCAGGGGATGGAGGAGAAGGGGGAGAGGGGGGGGGGGGGGGGGGGGGGGTTGCTGCAGATCCCCTCCCCCCCACTGCTGCAGCAGGGGGAGGTAGGAGAAGGGGGGGGGGCTGGTGCCGCAGATCCCCTCCCCCCCCACTGCTGCACCCGCAGCAGGGGGGAGGTAGGAGAAGGGGCGGTGCAGGAGCCGCTCGGGCGACAGCAGGTTGGCCACACCCGCCACCCCCATACCCTCCCCCACTGCTGCACCTGCAGCAGAGAGACGGAGGAGAAGGGGGGGGGGGGGCTGGAGCTGCAGATCCCCTCCCCCCCACCGCCACACCCACAGCAGGGGGATGGAGGAGAAAGGGGGGGGGGGGGCAGGGGGGGGGGGGGGGGGCGGTGCAGGAGCCGCTCGGGCGACAGCAGGTTGGCCACACCCGCCACTCCCATACTCTCCCCCCACTGCTGCACCAGCAGCAGAGAGATGGAGGAGAAGGGGGGGGGCAGGGGGGGCAGGTGCTGCAGGTCCACTCCCCCCACTGCCGCATCCGCAGCAGGGGGATGGCAGATCCCTTCCCCCCCACTGCTGCACCCGCAGCAGGGGGAGGTAGGAGAAGGATGAGGAGGGGGGGGGGGGGGGGGGGGGGGGGGTGCTGCAGATCCCCTCCCCCCCTCTGCTGCACCCACAGCAGGGGGAGGTAGGAGAAGGGTGGGGGACCTGGTGCTGCAAATCCCCTCCTGCCTCCCCCTGAACCTCCAAGCCCCCCCCCCCCTCTCCCAACACAAGGTGCGGCAGGGAGAGAGAGAGGAGGAGGCGTGGCGGCAGCTGCTGCTGCTGAGGCACATCCGCCACCCCCTCACACCCTCTCCCCGCCATCCCCATGGAGGGGGGGTAGGGGGGGGAGGGGGGCGGGGGCGGAGCTGCGCGTGCGACTGTAGGGCACGCGGGCAGGAAGAACCCCGTCTTGCCACCCCCTCACCCACCATGTTGCAACAGGGCACCGGGGCCGCGGTTAGGGGCAGCAGGTCGCGAGGGCTCATGGCTAGGGGCGACGGGGCCATGGCTAGGGGTGACGGGGCCATGGCTAGGGACGGGGCCGGGCGCTGGGCAGGTACGGAGCCGGGCGCTGGGCAGGAACGGGGCCGGGCGCTGGGCAGGTACGGGGCCGGGCGCTGGGCAGGTACGGGGCCAGGCGCTGGGCAGGGACTGGGCCGGGCGCTGGGCAGGTACGGGGCCGGGCGCTGGGCAGGTACGGGGCCGGGCGCTGGGCAGGTACGGGGCCGGGCGCTGGGCAGGTACGGGGCCGGGCGCTGGGCAGGTACAGGGCCGGGCGCTGGGCAGGTACAGGGCTGGGCGCTGGGCAGGTACGGGGCCGGGCGCTGGGCCGGTACGGGGCCGGGCGCTGGGCAGGTACGGGGCCGGGCGCTGGGCAGGTACGGGGCCAGGCGCTGGGCAGGTACGGGGCTGGGCGCTGGGGAGGTACGGGGCCGGGCGCTGGGCAGGTACGGGGCGGGGCGCTGGGCAGGTACGGGGCCTGGCGCTGGGCAGGTACGGGGCCGGGCGCTGGGCACGTACGGGGCCAGGCGCTGGGCAGGTACTTGGCTGGGCGCTGGGCAGGTACGGGGCCGGGCGCTGGGCAGGTACGGGGCCGGGCGCTGGGCAAAGGGCTCTGAGTTGGGGCCGAGGGGCCTAGGGGCCGCGGGGCCAAACAAGGGGCCGGGGGGCCTAGGGGGGGGCCGAGGGGCCAATCACACGGGGCCGAGGGGCGGGGCCGAGGGGCCAAACAGGGGGCCGGGCGCAGGGCTCTGAGGTGGGGCCGAGGGGCCTAGGGGCCGCGGGGCCAAACAAGGGGCCGGGGGGGGCCTAGGGGGGGGGCCGAGGGGCCAATCACATGGGGCCGAGGGGCGGGGCCGAGGGGCCAAACAGGGGGCCGGGCGCCGGGCTCTGAGGTGGGGCTGAGGGGCCTAGGGGCCGCGGGGCCAAACAAGGGGCCGGGGGGCCTAGGGGGGGGCCGAGGGGCCAGTCACACGGGGCCGAGGGGCGGGGCCGAGGGGCCAAACAGGGGGCCGGGTGTAGGGCTCTGAGGTGGGGCCGAGGGGCCAAACAAGGGGCCGGGAGTGGCCTAGGGGGGGGGGCCGAGGGGCCAAACAAGGGGCCGGGCGCGGGTGTTGACGGGCCGAGGCTAGGTACGGGGCCGGGCGCGGGCTAGGTACTGGGCCGAGCGCGGGCAAGAGACGGGGCCGGGCGCTGGGCGAAGGACGGGGCCAGGCGCGGGCTTGGTACGGGCCGGGCGCGGGCTAGGTACGGGGCCAGGCGCGGGCGAGGTACGGGCCGGGCGCGGGGCTAGGAACGGGGCCGAGCGCGGGCTAGGTACGGGCCGATCGCGGGCTAAGTACGGGCCGGGCGCGAGGCTAGGTACGCGCTGATCGCGGGCTAGGTACGGGGCCAGGCGCGGGCGAGGTACGGGCCGGGCGCGGGGCTAGGAACGGGGCCGAGCGCGGGCTAGGTACGGGCCGGGCGCGAGGCTAGGTACGGGGCCAGGCGCGGGCGAAATACGGGCCGGGCACGGGGCTAGGAACGAGGCCGAGCGCGGGCTAGGTACGGGCCGATCGCGGGCTAAGTACGGGCCGGGCGCGGGCGACGGAGTCGACGGGGCCAAGGGGCCGAGGCGACGGGGCCAAGGGGCCGAGCCTAGGGGCTAGGGGCGACGCCAAGGGGCGACGGGCCGGGGCCTAGGCTAGCAGGGCAGTAGGTGGTGGGCCCATTAACATTAGGTCCTAGGAAATTTATGCTCTTAATACCATGCTAGAATGCTAGCGTGAGTTAGGAGCCATGGCTAGTGAGTGTCGAGAGAGTTGAGTGTCGAGGGAATTGAGTGTCGAGAGAATTGGAAAGGAGAATGAGGGGTTTCACTAGCAAGAGTTGGGATACAAGTACAACACCCTAAATTGGGTTGTACTCATTACAGAGTACCCCACTGCAGGCTAGACAGCAAATACATTCTGACACAAGGCCGTGGCACCGTCGCTCTGCAAGGGGAGCCCGGGAAGCAGGTCCTTGTCACCGACATGCTCTACGTTCAAGATGTGCAGGCGAACCTGCTATCGGCCGGCCAGCTCAAGGACAACGGTGTGAAGCTGCAGGATGACGACGAAGAGATATTGCTGGTATTGGCTACTAGCGATGTCCTTGGTCGAGCGTGCTACACCGCAGGGTTCTCTACACCGACATGCGCCCCTGCTCGACGAAGTCCACGGCGACCTCGACGGAGGTTGCGAACAATCTCATCGGCAAAGAAGTCAACCGTGGACATATGGCAAGCAAGCTCGCGCACGTCGGCTCGACAAGATCAAGAGCTCGGTGAAGCATGAGGTCGCTGCTGGTCTAGACATCAAGCAGTCGACCGCAGCCAACCCGCAGTCGGCGGCAAGATGGCGCGGCACACCTTCCCCGAAAAAGGATCGGACGCCGAGAATGCGCTCGACGTGGTGCACATTGACCTCTGCGGGTCATTTTGAGTGGCCGCCAACAACGGCAGCCTCTACTTTCTCCTGCTGAAGGACATGAAGACCCGCTATGTGTGGGTTCGGACGATCGCGAAGAAGAGCAACGTGCTGGTCGTCTTCGAAAAGTGACTGGAGGTAGTGGAGCGGCAGATGTCAAAGACGGTGTAACTCATGCGTTCGGACTGCGGAGGGGAGTTCCTCGGCCGGGCCTTTACCAACCTCGTTGAAGACAAGGGTATCCTCCACAACCTGACATGCCCCTATTATTTGCAGCAGAACGATATGGCAGAGCGGGAGATGCGTACAGTCGTCGAGGTCGTGGGGACGATGCTGCTTCACATGGGCGTGAAGCACCACTGGTGGCACCTTGCTTTGCGATAGGTCGTTTGGGTGTGCATATGCCTCGAACGGACGTCGCTGCCTTCGGGGACGACGCCGCATGAGTTGCTGTTCGAGAAGAAACCATACATGACGCTATCGCACGTGTGGGGCTGCATGGTGCAGTTCATGGTCCCCGAGAAGCAGCACAGCAGGAAGCTGTCGCCGAAGGCCCGTTGAGTCTTCACCTCGGAGTCTCGCCGCCGAGCAAGGGCTAGGAGGTGCTCGATCTAAGCAACAATAGAGTGGTCACTACGGTCAAGGCGATCTTCTACGAGACCCTGTCGCTTGTGCTGTGGAAGGCGGAGTATGGGTCTGCGTCGACGAGGACGCCGCCTACCTTGCAGACGGACACATCATCGGCGATGCTCCCACTGCTCGTCGAGGACGGCGAGCCTGATGATGTAGACGCTACATACCCACCACAACCTCCTCCTCCTGTCCCTGCAGCCTCCCCGTCGACAACTTCCTCACCCTCCCCTTCACCGCTCGTCGCCGACCTTCCTGCGAAGAGGTCTCTGTCGGGCGCTGGCGATGAGGAGAGCCTTGGTGCGTCGCCCTCGGCACCAACCAATTGCATCGCCGGTGGCCGACGTGACTTTGTGAAGGTTGGTGAAGGGAAGCGGTTGATGACAAGGGAGCAGACCACAGGGGAGCTGTCGGCAGAGGTGCTGACCGCAGGGGAGCCGTCGGCAGAGAAGCCGACCCCGGGGGAGCAATCTGTAGAAGAGCCCCCGACAGGGGAGCATCTAGACGATGACTCGCTGAGTGACGTTGTGGGAGTCGGTGCAGCCGATGAAGGCAGCAAGATTTGGTCGACAAGGGAGCCGTCTGACGACAGTGACGTGGTGGAGGTCCTGGTCGATAAGCCTGAAATGCGATGCTCTACCCATCCCAGAAAGGCTTCAGAACGGCTGAGCTACCACGCTTGCTTGCCCCCCACCACCTGCAACATGATGCTCGACGACGCACAGGCCGACGCTGACCTGCCCGAGCTCGACCCTGACATGCACGCCGATCCGGAGCACCGGTGGGACATCGCCAACATGACGGTGAAGGAGGCATTGGCGAGCTGGAAGGGCAAGGCGGTGACGGCCGCGATGGACAAGGAGATCAGGAGCATCATTGCCAACGGGACGTGGGAGCTGGTCGAGCGTCCGCGCGGTATCAACATCATGAAGAACCGATGGGTGCTCATGACGAGATATGACGTCAATGACACGATCGCCCGCGAGAAGGCCCGCATGGATTAATACTCTCAATACACGTATCTGTACTCGTTATTTACTGTAATTATCCTGTTAGTTGAAACAAGATTAAGCCAGCGTTTGATCTAGAGTCTAGATCAACTCTACCACAATCCATTATGATGTTTTGACATATTTGTTAGATAATATAGAATCTGATTTTACACGAAGATATGTAGGCCAATTTTGTTTCAGATCACTCCTATGCGCGATCAGATTTACCTGCACGAAGCGCGCTCAATCCCTTAGTCATCTCGCGCGCCAAAGCTAGGAATAAGTATTTTCGCGTTAAGCAAGGACCAGGAACGGGTTGATTTTGTTTCGTAGATGCTAAATCCGTTTCGCGAGTCGGGTGCGTAGCGCGGAAACAGCGGAGTTTTGAGGGACACATTTTCGTCAGAGGTTGGCGAAAAGAATTGCAGAACCCAAGCAAACCAACTTCCAAAACAACTTTGACTACTTTCCTGGGATCGCAAAGTGGGCCTTCATTGTGATGTTTCCAGATAAGAGGTATGTTTTTAGTTCGTGCTTTCAAATAGGCAGAGTAACAAATAGTTTCTAGCCCTTATTAGCCTAGCAAGGCAGCAGTGGGCTGGTGCACGGCAACAGCAACACCCAATTCCGCCCTTCCACCAACTTATCACTCAGCCCAGGGGACATCCGACAACCTACCAGGCCAAGCCACCAGTGTCTCCCATCCAGAGTTACGCACGAACACAGAGATGTCCACAGCGTCACAGCTGGTGAGGCAACCTTACACAGAGCCGTAGCTGGCGTATTTGCAGTAAGGCGCGATGATCAACAAGGAGATGTAGTCCTCCACATCGCCGTCCAGAAACCCCTTGCCCTCCGCCTTATCCACGTCCACGGGGTGGTGAAGCAGCGCCGCCAAGTGCGAGTACTTAACCGCGCGCTGCAGCTGCTCCGGGGAGTTCATAAAAGTCTGCCCCAGCACGCCGTGCACGGGTGACGTCATCAGCACGTCGGAAAGTTCCACGTTGAAGTGGGTCTCAGCCTCGGTCGGCGTCTGCAGCAGCGGGTGCGCCACGCGCACGCGCACGTTCAGCTCCCCCAGCCCCAGCACGCGCACCTGGAACCGATCCACATCGAACGGCCCCTCTTTCTCCTCCGCGATTTTGGTAACCACCAGGCCACTTTTCGTCGCAATAGACTCGCCGACGGTCGGCGGGACAGCCGGCTGGCCGTCGATCTCAATAAGCGACATGAAGCCGCCTTCTCCGCGCTCCTGCTGGTTTCCCTTACGCACAACCATGCGCATCGTATGGTTCACGCCGTCGGGCGTCATCGACACCAGCTGACCTCCTTAATCCACATGTGCAGCTCCGTGTTCGACTCACTCGACTTCGCGGACGCAGGAAGCGCATGTGGTGCGCCTTGGTATCCGTTCAGGTCCATGTTGACGTAGAATCGACCGTCGGAGAAGAGGCAGAACGACTTGTCGAGCCGCCCGGTGGAGTCGTAGTGATTGCCGAGCGCACCCGTGAGATGCGGGTCGTTTTCGACGAGCGCCGTGCCGTTGCAGAGCCCGCCGACAAAGCTCAGCGGATACGACGCCGCCTTCGCAATCTGCATGGTCGCTTCGCCCGCGTACGGCGTCTTGAAAGAGCCCGACGTGCCCGAGCCGCCGTTCTTCTCCAGCAAGTAGCACCGCACGCGGTCGATAAATCCTGCCACATTCGCGTTCTCGCCGGCAAGACGCAAGCTAGGGAGGAAGAGAGAGAGGATCGAAAGAGAGGCGGGGAAAAGAACGCCAGCATAAGGCAATCACTCACTCAGCGAGCAAAGTACTTCGTTTTTTTTAATCAGCGACTCCAAAATTGGTAGCTTCCATTTCGGCGTGAATTCTTGAAAAAATCCCATCCCTTACTCACTTCTTAAACCAGTGCCATTCGTAGCAGTAGGTGGAGCGCGCACATGCGCGGCAGCACTCCTGCAGCGTGTCGCCGTACACGCCCTTCACGACGTCAAAAATGGTCCCCACCTCCGTTAACCGCTCGAAGTTAACGGGGCCCGATCCGCGCTGGTGTTCCGTGAACTGCCCGCCCTGGTCGTTGAAAAGTCCCTGGTAGTTGCCGATATATTTGTAGCTGGTGTAAGTGGCATGCGTGATTGTTGCGGTATCAAGATCGTCTATGTATGGGCAGACGTAGCGAGTGTGGCATCCGCCGGCATGCATGCTAGTTGCACATGCGGAATGGAGCACCAAACTGACGAGGGCGAGGATAAAAGAGAGCCTGAAAGCCATATTAGCGCTTTAGATTTGCTAATGGAATGTTGAGAACGATGTTTGAGAAGGCTGATGATTTTTGTTCTACTCTTTCCGTCTGATAAATACTTGGCCTTACGAGGCCAGTGGGATCTGCTCCAGAAACAACTTGGTATACCCAATTGCTGGTTTGCTGGCGCAATGAGGGCCACGGCGAGTCGCAGCCACATGTCTTAGTGAAATCTAATCATTATCTGCCGTACTTTATCACAATTTACCGTGTCGAATATCGTGAAACACCCTCTGCCCACCATACACAATGAATGAGGATTTGCCTCGAGTCGAGTTGTGTAAAGCAGGGGTGAGCATTTGTCGTACCGAAACATAATGTACCGATCTGATAATGCACGCCACCGTATAGAAACCTCCAGAGGCAAAGCATATTGCACTGCGCCTTGGGGGAGGCAGGGGTCATGCGATGTGGCCCACTGCCCAAATTGGACTGATGCGAACAAAGTTCCCCCATGCGAACATGTTCCCTCATGTAACCCCATAGGTACAAGGAGTTTTGTGTTGCCACTGGTTTGAGAGTGATCAAGGATCAAGTGCAATTGCACTGTTGATCCTTGTACCGATGCACTTGTATGCTGCTCCTTGATTAATGCAATATGCATTAAGTTGATCCTTGATCCTCCCTCATGCACGTGTATGCTGCTCGATATAGGAGTTAAGGTGTGGTAAGATTTTAGTATGTATTTCATTCGGTTTTACACCCTCTTGAATCTGATTTACTATAGTATAATACATTTTTCCCTTAACACTACCGGTACCTTCTCTTGCTCCAGCAATCGCATGTCAGAATCCCAACCACTAGACCATTGGGATAAAATGACTTGATTAGTAGCGGGTCAGTGCGCCCATAACCCCCAAGGCTAATATGCCTGTAATTCCTCAAGGATCAATCGGGGATCTCACAGTGCAAGTCTTCTGACACCCCCTCACACCGGGAGGTCCAAGACTCAGCACAGCGGCAACGGCCTGCATGTGCATACACCGGGATTCGAACCTGAGACCGCTCTGATACCATGTCAGAATCCCAACCACTAGACCATTGGGATAAAATGGCTTGTTTAGTAGCGGGTCAGTGCGCCCATAAACCCCCAGGCTAACAGGCCTGTAACCCCCCAAAGATGAATCCGGGATCTCACAGTGCAAGTCTTGAACTAAATATATAGAAACAACATTATGTCAACAAAATTTGGTAGTGGCCGCTGCTGTCGCAGAAACGCATCTTGTTTCTTTGTTGCGATCAAAAGGTAGATCGTGCCTAGGATCAGATCAGGAAGGTTCGCAGAGAGTGTGTTGCAGTGGAATTATTGGCCTCAGGTCAGATTTGTTGGGATAACCAAGGGTTATTATAACATTCGCGATGGTTCTCCCTTAGCGCACCGCCCGGGCCTCAGAAGTTAGCGAAAAAAGGCTGATTAGGGTTAAAAAGGCTGAGTTTTCAGTGCTGGGGAGAAAGTAAGGCTGATTTGTCAGTTTTTTTTTAGTGTATGGGCTGATTTTCTAGCGTTTTTTTCATTGTATGGGCTGATATTTCACCTTTTTTTGTAGTTATGTATACTGACTGATCAGAGTTGTAATGGGAGTGAGGGCTGAAATCCCGAGTTGTACACAGAGATTCCGTTTGCGATCTCATTCTCCCGCCCACCCCGCCCCCCCGAGGCCCAGTCCACCCCCTTCCCCGCGCTCCCTCCCTCCCATCGACTTCCAGCCTCACTCACATGTTTCTCTCACCATTTAGCTGCCCCAACACCCGCAGTTTCTGTAAGAAATCTTTACTACCACGAGTCTCTCCTCGCGTACATCGTTCTTCTCCGTAATTTCTCCCCCACCGAGCAGCTTGGCGTCCGCTCCCTCAAGACGGAGTGGGCTCCCGTGCAAGTGTCTTGGGAATACCTGCGCAACATGTACATGGCGACGGATCTGGTAACAATGAGTCGCCTTCTCAGCCAACTAACATCGGCAAAAATGGCTCAAGGGGAGAAAGTGGGACCCTATATCAATCGCTGCCGAAATCTGTACGACTAGTTTAAGAAATGTGGCAAAAACTTCCCTGATTAAATGTTCGCCACTTTAGTCCTTTCATGACTAGGACCAGAGTGGCAACAGTGCAAGTCGTTGCTTCGCGCTCGAGGAGTTGTTTCCGAAGCTGCCCTCTGCGCCACACTCCTCTCTGAGCAGCATGAGATCGATCTGTACAATGAAAGAAACGGCAAAAGAGAGAAATTAGTGTTCTACGTTGGCGCAGTTGAAGGGGAGTCGGACGAAAACAAATGATATTTATGCAAGTACTGTAAGAAACCGGGTCACACAATGGATCGCTGCTTCAAACGTAAAGCCGCCAATGAAAGGCGCAACAACAACCAGCATCAACCTTCAGCTCACCCTTCGACGCCAGCAGCAGCACCAATAGCGACAATATCGCCACCTGCCGTAGCAAGTACCCCGCAAGCTCGTGCACACATCCCAGCCAAAGATAAGGGAAAGGGGACAATCTTAAGCGACATGGCACATCACAGAGGCACTTGTTATTACGACAGGGTTCACTTCCCAACAATCGCACCGATTGAACCCATCGCGCCGAGCTCGAACAATGACCCTATAATTGGACTCTGGAGCAACAGGTCGACGACTCTCCCACCTGATTTGAATTGCTCCCGAGCACGCCCGAGTCTCCTCCGGGGTTCCCCGTGACCCACGAGAACAACCTCTCGGGCTTCTACGTTGACCCCGACTGCATCGTTACTCCCAAAATCGCCAGCATCGCGCACTGGAGCCGCGACAACTTCAACAAGTGGTATCTTGATGGCTGCTGCAGGCAACACATGGTGGGGTCAATGTCATTCACTAGCAACTCAAAGCGACTGCGACGCTCGTGCGAAATAACTGTCGCAAACAACAATCGTCTAAAGGCTTAGGCCATTGGAGAGGTATGCTTGCAGTCAAGCGACACCAACTTCACGATTCACATCGGTGATGTACTGGTCGTCGCCGAACTTCAGTTCAACCTCCTCTCTGCAGCACAACTCATGAAATGCGGAGTTAAAATTAAAAGCAAGTGTGAAGAAAAATGCTTCGAGCTGTTCTACAAAAGAACTTACATTGGGAAGGCATTTGATGAAGATGGGGTCTTCGTTCTCAACTTTGCATCGCAAAGTAACGACGTCGACACTGACAGAACACTCTTGCTTAAGAAAACGCCCACGGAGACACCGACTTGGTCGCATCTTGGAGAAACACATCTCGAGCGTCCCGGACCAGATGGCCTCTATCGCACCCTCGTAGTCCCGACCGCCTCAACCTTCGCTCCCAGCGACACCAGACCTGCATCAATGGAAGAAGAAGAAGAAGCAGACAGTGGCGCGTAAGGAGAGGAAGCAACTGCAACGCAAACCAACACCGGAGGATGGGAAAACGCAGGAACTATTGCCACCACTGGCTGGGGCACTAATGTCACGGTAGACACGTGGGGACAAGTCGAAGCTCCGTTAGAAACTGTAGGCAGTTGGGGCCCGCTGACGCTTCCGCCAGGATTTCCCGCTCAGGGTGGATGGGGAACGTCAATTTCTCAAGGCGGCTGGGGACCACCAAGTCCCTATCCCGAAGCTCCGAGTCTTCCTCCTAAATCTGTGGCGGAAGTAGACCCATAATAGGCGATACGTGGCACCAGCTTAGGTGGACCTCCTCTCCCGAATCAATATCCCTACGAACTAGCACAGGAAGAAGAGGAAGAGTCAGAAGGCATGTTGTATGATTTCAGAGAAGCTGTAGAACTACCTGAACATACCGAGGAGCCACCGCCGTCAGTAGAAGGACCACAACTGATCTCAGTCACCGGTGACGAATACCTTTACCACCGGATTCTGACGGAGGGACTCCCCGCCTCAGAGAGGCCAGAAGCGACATCGCCCCAACAACTTCTTTCGGTCACTGACAACTCAGTTCACGTTACCGATACGAATGACATCATCGGCATCCCCGAAGCCAATCTCGAACAATCGTCCACCCAAGCCTTTGTAACGGACGTACGAGCTGCCGCCAACACGGGACCTGCAACGCCACATCAAGAGGAAGAGCAGAGGAACATATATTATGAAAGTACAGTTGGCTACCATGCCACCCCTGACACCTGGCACCAACGGCTCGGACATCCCTCACACGCTACACTCAAGAATTCGATTGAAGCCAATATATTCGACACTAGCTGACTAATCCTTCCCAACGGCGATACGCTAAAAACAACATCGGACAACCCTCCGTGCATCATCTGCCCAACCGCATCACTCGCTCACAAGCCCTTTCCAGACATACCCCCGGGCTACGAGCGTTACGAGCTGGTCAAAAAGGTCTACACTGATTTTATGATCCTAAGCCAAGGAGGGCTCGACTGCGAGTATAACACGATGACATTCATCGACGCCACCTTGTGCTATATCTGGGCCGTCAACATCAACTGCCGATCTCGCGCCTTCGATTGTTTCGTGTTTTGGATGAAGAAAGTCGGGTGTCAGTCAGGGTTGAAGCTGAAATGCCCCCAAACAGACAGAGGCATGGAGTACTTCTCCAATGAGTTCAAGGAGCCCTTCGCCAAAAAAAGGGTTTGAGCATTCGGTGTCCCTGCCATACTCGCACGAGAAGCAAGGAGTAGCAAAAAGGACAATCAGGAGCCTCGCCACAAGGATGAGAGCCCAAATAAAGCAGTCCGCCATCCCAACAAGGTTTAAAGCAGTCTGGCCTTTCGTGATGAACCATGCCGTTCGGTTGCACAACTTGCAGTCATCCCAGGGCCTGAAGGACAACACCTTACGTTACAAGGCCTGGACGGACAGAAAAGCTGACATGCGTCTGCTCCGAGTGTTTGGCTATGTGGTACAGTACAAGTAGTACACCTTGTGCAGCTTGGGGTAGCGGTTGGTTCCTTGCTCCAGAGGAGGGAATGGCCGATGGCTTAGCGCGGCTTCGGGGCAGACGGTGCAGTTGCGCGGCTGCGATGTGGTAATGATTTTGGAGCCATCAGGGCGCAAGAGTGCGCCAGGCGCGAACCCTCCTGCCTCGATGCAGTTGTTTAGCGTCACGCGCGAGGGGTGACCGAGGCGCGGTTGCACAGGTCGTCATTGCGCGGAGTCTGGAAGTGCGCTGTAACACGCGCGCACCGCTTCGGGATCTTCTTCATGTACTAGAGTTGGTTCGGCTGGTGCTTCTTCCTCTACTGCCTCTTCCTTCGTCGTCGTGAGCATTAGCGCGAGAAATGTTTTGTCGGAAATAACAGAGATAGCGATGTTGGTCCCGGGGATCATTCCGGGGACGATCGTTGGGTTCGCGTGGCTCGGGATAGGGTCCGTAGACAGTGCGACGCGGGGTCGAGGGCTCATTTCCCCAGTCGATGGTGTCGAGGGTCGCGATGTGGCTGGATGTCAGCGGGGAGCGGCGCAGGTGCAGGGAGGCGCGAAGGGCGCCCGAGAGGAACAACATGAGGTTCAGAGAGAGAGGTGTGGACAATTTGAGGTGCAGAAAAGTAGTGGTGATGAAGAGATAGGTGGGGACAAAGATAGGTGCGGACAGAGAAAGGTGCGGAGAGAGAGACGTGCGCTAAAAGATATTCGCGGACAATCAGAGGCATGGACGGAGGGATGTGGCGACAGAGAGAGGTGGGGACAGATATTGGTGCGGACAGAGTGAGGTGCGGACACAGATAGGTGCATAGAGAAAGAGGTGTGTACAGGGAGGGATGCGGACAGAGTGAGGTGGAGACAATGAGAGGTGCGGACACTACCTCACTCCACCCTACACCGCCCCAGCCCTGACGTCTTGCGTGCTTGTGTGTGGACATGCAGGCTATCGGGCTGTCGCGCTGCTGGCAACAAATGTGCGGACAGGTGAGCCACGGGCCAGACATGCTTGCGCAGCTCCATCGCATCATGGCTCCCCTGCCTTCTCCCTTTTGTGGAGTATGGAGCAGAGGAGGGCGAGGCACTCTACGTGTAGTTGGTCCTTCTTAATGCGAGCTCGCAGGTCCGCCAATGGACAGGGAGCACTGTTGCATGAGGTGGAGTACATCAAGCCTTGGAAGGAGGCTGGTGTTGACCAGCTCATGGGGTGTGTGAAGCTCGAGGAGGTTAGGAATCTGGATGCGTGTGTGATCGTTCTTATTGTTTACTTTCGTTGCATTGGACGTCGCCCAACCATCGATCGCCCACACGTGTGGCTGGTGAAAAAGTGGGCAGATGGCCTTCCCCGGGGACTGTTTGATATAGCACAACCATGACATTAAATATATGTGCTTAACCCACTTCACGACTAGATGTGTATTTTAACCCTTGCATGCGTATTTACTGTTAAGGAACCTGTTATTATTGTGGGCAATAAGAAACTTTGCACCCCAGCTGATCCAGTTGATTTAAAAGACGTCGCATTTCTTGGGTCAAAAGTTGGTACAATGTTTTCAATGCAAGTAGGGCATTCATAAATGTATTCACATGAGTGGAACAAATTACAGCATTATTCGCTAAACAAAACACGATGTACAGGTATCGAGTCTTAGTGTATTAGATCCAAGCTTGACGCGGTATGGAGTTCCCGTACGTAACAGCCTCGGTAACGGCAGGAAGCAACAATTTAGGGCGTGGCACCATTTTGCATTGTTGACGGTTTGAGCCGTCGGCGAAACGAGGTCCGCTTTCCAGAATTCTCGCATGGCCTTTGATTCGATAACGAGGAGCGCAACGAGTAACCCCGTCGCTGACGGTTTGAACGATCAGAATGCATTATGGTTCCACGCCCTTAGGCAGAGCCAAGCCTTGCGCAAACGCTGTGGTATATTGTTAGGTGCAATCCAACTGAGCTGTGTTCCGATTAGTCAGGGATCGAATTCCGATATTGTGCGAAACTATTTGCGACTGTCGACGACGTCGCTAGTGCACAAATGTATCATGCAGCGATCGTGTTGGGAAAATGAGGGTTACCCCGTGCGTGTGACCTTGGCCCATCCCTCCTTTTCAAAGCGATTCCTTAGAGATTTTTGGGATGCACCACTGCCCTTGCTACTAGATAGTACCTGTCATGTTACCTTTCATGCAAAATGGCGTCGCCAAATCCATTAGTGCTGCAAGCATGGCTTGCACTCTCCACCGCGCTTTTGCTTGCTGCCTTTGTCCTTCCGTGCCATGCGCAAGCGGCGGTGATCAACGCTACTCAAGGTACCTCGTTCCCTCCTCGAACCCATGCTCACCGCCGGTACAATCAATATCCGAATAATCTATTCTTACTAGTTAGTACTACCTCCTCTTCCTCATGCAATCCGTGGTGTGATAGTACTAGCCATTAACATGCTACTGATAGTAATTGAAGTGGGCAAAGACATGCAGTAGGGCGCGTATCATGTTCGTCTGCGAACGCTCCTGCTATCTGCAGTACATGTGATACCGCAGTAACCTCAGTTCATCGGCAATGAGGTAGCAGCGACCATTCTCAGCCTCCCGCTTCGTCCCTCGTTCAGAGCGGCCGCACTGTGCGTAACATAGTAGCAATCAGCACGCGGATTGCACTGCCACAACGACTGACCACTAACGCGCGTGTACTGCACATGACGCGATGCGCGTGTACTGCACATGACGCGACGCGGAACGTGTTCTGCACATGACGTGATGCGCTTGTACTGCACATGACGCGACGCGGAACGTGTTCTGCACATGACGCGATGCGCGTGTACTTCACATGACGCGACGCGGAACGTGTTCTGCACATGACGCGACGCGTTTACTACTACTACACATGACGAACCGGCGTGCGAGGTTTGGAGCTGGTCGTTTGAGCGCGGGTTGGGAAGGGACCCATCATCACAAGAGCGCATTACTATAGGGTATCCGTTCAGAAGCCCCTCAAAGATAGTTCTGGAACCGGTCGTTTGAGTGCGAGTTGGTTGGGAGAGAGCCATAATCACAAAGAGCGTTCCGTCTAGTTACACATAGAAACCACGGATGGCAGGAGCACTTATTTCGTTATCCATAGCAGTTCAGAGGTACGGGGCAGGCAGGCTAGCGACGTGTGCGGTTCAGAGGTATGGGGCAGGCCAGCGACAGAGGAGTTGGCCGCAAGCTTTGCGAATCTTCGATCAATCTCGCTCACCGCCCGTGCGAAACGGACTGTCATGCCAGGGGGAGGGCGTGTCGGAGCTTTGGGGCAGATGTTGCTGACGCGCGTTTACCTCAAAATGGGGAGGATGTCGGCGACAGCCGGGTGGAACTGTGGAGGCATGGGAGAGTGTTTGGAGGAGATGAGGCCGGGGTAGGGGGACGGTGCGGTGACCAGGGAGTGTTTGGAGGAGATGAAGCCCCGACGATTTACATGGCGGGTGGTGAGTAAGAGGCAGAGCCGGGGGTTCTTTCTGGCCAGCATTGGAAGTGGCTCCGCTGCTGCAGTGCACCCTGTCTGCGGCGCCCAGCCGTTCGCGAAGAGAGAGCAGCTGCACAGGCGTGGGCCGGCCCCATGGGGTCCATTTTGGCGAGCATTGGAATCTGAAGTCCGTATGGCGAGAGATGAGTCTTTTTTTGAGTCGACTCAAAAATAGACTCATCACTCACAGATGTGGGCCGGCCCAATGGGGTCCATTTTGGCGAGCATTGGAACGCGGAGTCCGTCTTGCGAGAGTGGAATTTTGGGGGAAAGGAGGACCGGGTTGGGTCCGGGCCAAGGGGACCGGGTTGGGTCCGGGCCAAGGGGACCGGATTGGGACCAGGCCACCGCGCACTTGGGTCCCATGGGGTCCCCCTGGCCAAAGGTACCCATGGGGCCCTCCTGGCTAAGGGGGTTGCGCCGAACTATGATGGATTATACGCGTTTAGCGTATATACGCGTGTCGTATATACGCTAGTGTATATACGCTAAACGCGAGTGGGGTTTGTCCAGGATACGCTTTTCTGGGCAGCTAAAAAACTTTCCCGGGCAGGGCAAAAAAACCTTCCGAGAGTGCAGTAAGGGGGGGTTCTGGTGGGATGTGTTTCTGCAGAAAATTTTCCCACACAAAAAATTTCACACGGCCATACCTAGAACATCAATGTGCCTCGCTACTACCTAGTCTACTCTACTTATCACCACCATTTACCCTTTTCTTGACCCGGGTTCCCTTTCTACTACTCATACTCGTCCGCCAAGACCTGGTCCTCACCTTCCTCCTCCTCCATATCATCCGCGATGTTGTAGCCAGCGGGGATGGGCGGCTCGACCTCATTCCCGCGCACAACTGATGGCATCACCTCATGGCGCATGTGCCATCCGCGCACAACGTTCCAGAGGTGCGTGACGTACACTAAATCCGAGCATTTAGCGGATCCGAGGCGGTTCCGTCGCGCAGTGTGGACTGATTCCCACTTCGACCATCCACGCTCACACGGAGATGCCGAGACGGGCTGCGAGAGAACCTTTACGGCGAGCGACGACAGCTGCGGCGCATCCGTCCCGTTCCACTGCCACCACTTAACCATGCTGTAAGTGCCCGCCTTTACCTTCTCCCTCTGTGAAATGGCTACAGGCATCCCGAAACTCCCTTTGAGGTCAAGGAAAGACCTCAGCTGGTCCCCCAATGCGAGCAAATAGTCGCACTCATCACCCCTCTCCTTCTCCCGCACGGTGAGGAACTCCGCATGTTTGGAGAGGAAAGCCTTGAACACCCTTGTGCATTCCACATCCCTGCCGAAGATGTCCTCCTCTTGGTTGGCGGGGTTGAGGATGCGTCCCGCCACGTGCATGGCGCATGCAAGACTCCCGTCCCACCTGTTCTTCAGGATGCGGCGGATCTGCTGCTTGTCGGTGCTGGACAACTGCTCCTCATCCGCGTCGACAAGGGCCTCCACATCCTCGGTAAGTTGGAGCATTATGTCGTACATTCGCCCCATCGTCCCCTTTGCGCTCCCATCCGTCTGCCGCATCGCGATGAAGGGGAGCTTCATGAGCTTCGTGAAGAACTCGGCGGTCTTCCACCAAGCCGCATCGAGTACCTGCGCGGCAAACCCCTCCGCTGCTTTCTTTCGATCCCCCACCGCTCAATCTTTCCACAGGTCGGAGAGCGCCATCTGGGTAAGGGAATTACGAAGGGCACACAGGCGGGAAACAGTTATATACTGTGTCCCGAAGCGTGTCCCCGGTGGCTTCAACGCCTACATCACGGTCCCCTCCACCAGCTCCGGCGTCCGCAAGTACCCCCGCGTCCAGTGGTGGTTGCAGACGAAGGAACTCATTTCCTTAGCCCGATCCACCACCCCTTTCGCCCACCCAAGCTTCCCCACATCCTCCATGAGGAGATCCAGGACGTGGGTCGCACAAGGGACAATCTGAATGTGGGGCCATTCTGCAACCAAGGTCTGGCACGCAACCGCGTAGTTGGAGCCGCCGTCCATACAAAAAGCGACGATGTTCTTCGCCCCCACCTCCTCCACCACGGGCTTTAGTAACCACACAATGTATCCCCCTGTCTTCTTCTCCATGTTGCTGTCCACGCACACATGCAACACGGCGCCCGCGTCGTTAACGAGGAAGACATTTGCCTGCGGCCTCCCGTTTCTGTCCGTCATCATGTCGGACGCGACAGTTACTCCAACCTTTTTCCAACTTGCTTTGATGCCCACCAACCCGCTTTCGATGCCATGGCGGCATGCTTGAAGACCGCTACCACCGATGTACTTCCGGCCTGGTGGAACATAGTTTTCGCCGGCGCGGGCGACGTCTCTGATTGCGTTGACGAAGAGAGGATGGTCGACGATCTGCTCCGGGATGTGACATCCCGCAAACATCAGCGCAAGCGACTGATGTGCTTCGCGTCTTGCCGATGCAGCATTGCCCGCGAGATAGTCGATTATGCGGGACCGCTTCCCACCTAGTGTCACCGAGGCAATCGCAGCCTCAGTCGATCTCCGCCTCTCCTCTCCATCTGCGGCCTGCTTCTCGTACTTGGACTTCATCGCGAGGCGAACATCAGCTGGGGCATTCTCGCAAAGTGTCACCTCCCGGCGCTTCATGGTCTTCCATGACGTCAGGTGTTGAGCGCAACGGATGGCGGCACCAAAGAAGACAAGGGGGCAGTATTTGCACTCGTACTGCTGTGCCTTGCCCTCCTCCCGCTTGATGAGCCTGAAGTGCTTAAACACTGGGTGTTCTACATCGGGAAGGTATTCCTGTGACGCAGCCGGAGGATCCCTCGCACTCTCCACAGTCTGGACGGAAGGCGACGTGGGAAATGGAGAGGAGGACATAGTCGTAGGAGCGTGCTATGCTAACTAGCTAGCGGGAGGTGAAAACCGAATGAGATTGACATTTTGACGAGTGGCTTAATAGCATGATGATGTGTTTGAATGCGGTGAAGCGGAGCGATTGAATTGTGGCAACGTGCTTGCGCGACTCGACATACTTGACCATGCAATTCTGAACGTGCAAAATGTGAAGGTGATAAACGCGACTCCAGGTCACGAATCCAATTTCCAGGCTCGACAGACACTTGACGTGCAATCTGAGTTCACAGAATTGCTTGTCGTGCAATTCCGCTGCTTTTGAGCTATTCGATTTTTTTTGGGTAGGCGGGCAGCCCCGAAAAAAATATGGGCTGCGAATAGCGTTTTCGCTAGCGTTTCGCGTTTAGCGTGTACACGCTAGCGTACAAATGCTAAACGCTTAAGCTCCAAAGCGTATAATCCATCATAGGCGCCGAAGGCCGTCCAAGGAGCCGAGGGCCTCAGTAAGGTCGGGGAAAGCTGCTGATCACGCTGCGGCATCACCCATGTGATGAAGAGAAGGCAATGCCTGGGCGTGCGTCGGCGATTTCCGCCAGCGAGCGTTCGATGCTCGCCGCAAAGAGCTGCGGTCCCACGGGGTCCCACGGGGTCCCACGGAGTCCCACGGGGTCCCACGGGGTCTTACGGGGTCCCATGGGGTCTTACGGGGTCCCATGGGGTCCCATGGAGTCCCCCTGCCGCACCCCGTGCGCGCTCAGTTGGTGGAGCTCCGAAGGGCGTGCCGTAGGTGACTTGCGTGCCGTAGGTGACTTGCGTGCCGTAGGTGACTTGCGTGCCGGGGAGGAAGAAAGCCGGCAGGGTGTCGCGTCACGGAGGCCATTGAAAATCGTCGCTGTTGCATTCGCTGCGGTGTCAAGCTGCAGCGCCGCCACCCCAGCTGCGCTTCCAGGTAAGTGCATCATGTGGCGTGAATGGCGGCGGCTTCAACTCAACTGCGCCTTCTGCTGCCACCCTGCCTGAATTGGAGTAGTTGGGTGAGGTGCCCGAGGAGGCGCTAGAAACAAGGCCGTGTTAGTGATGATCCTGTGCAGGCACTTCCCGACTGTTATAGGGAGCGTGCCTCCAGAGAGGGCTTCGTGAGGGCCGCCTTGGCGATGATCCTGTGCAGGCACTCCCCGCCTAGCTGAGGGCGTTGTGAAGGCGATGAGGTGGGAGGCGGTCTGAGCTGATCTCAGCCGCTTCTCCTTGGCGATGATCCTGTGCAGGCACTCCCCGCCTTGCTGAGGGCGTTGTGAAGGCGATGAGGTGGGAGGTGGTCTGAGCTGATCTCAGCCGCTTCTCCTTGGCGATGATCCCGTGCAGGCACTCCCCGCCTTGCTGAGGGCGTTGTGAAGGCGATGAGGTGGGAGGCGGTCTGAGCTGATCTCAGCCGCTTCTGAGCTCAGTCGCATCTGCATGCAGCGTTGTGTTGAGTAGCGAATGGATGGAAGTGTTGGCAAATGTCGCTGTTGCCGATCGCCGCACCTCGTAGGTGCTCCAGGGTTGTGCCCGAGGGTTGTGCCTGAGGGTTGTGCCTGAGGAGTCGACTCAAAAGATCGCCGCATCTCGTAGGTACTCCAGGGTTGTGCCCGAGGGTCGGCCGCTTCGCCAGGAAGCAACGTAGCTCCCGGGCTCCGATAGATGGCAGGCTGTGAGATACGTGTGAACCAGTCTGTGTTGGCTGCTTGGCTGCTCGGCTGCTCGGCTGTTGGGAGCTCAACCGCCTGTGTTGGGTGGGATGTGTGGGCAAGTAGTGTCCCTGTTGCGCCGCGTCTTGGAGATCCTCAAAGGTTGCACCGCATCTAGAGCACCGCCTCAGAGGGTCCGACCCTTACACCGTGGGACACTTGACCTGTGAGAAATGTGTGATCCACTCTGGGGTGGCCTGCTCTGCTGGGCCGCTGGGTGCCTGGCCTGGAGAGCAGCCAGTGTTTCAGGTGTTTCAGGTGTTGCGGATGGAGGGAGTTGCATTGCGGCAGCTGTGTCATCTGTACAGAGTATCCCAGCCATCCCAAACAATGGACCTGAAGAACTCTGCTCGCCATCGCCCACCAGTTTCGCGAGCTCTTGATCCTGTGCAACCACCACTGCGGGCAGAAGAACTTCATACCCTCGCGCTGGACGGTTGCACGCGACACCGTGGTCTTTGCTGCGACCGCTCTACAGGCGGCCATTGCGGAGCTGCTAGCGAAGGAGGGGGAGTTGGGATGCAAGGTGTCCTACAGCATCGACATATGGACTGCACCCAACGGCAAGGCTTGGCTGGTGGTGACAGGTCACTGGATAGACGAGTCGTTTCAGCTTCGCACGGAAGTGCTAGAGTTTCGCTAGATGACGGGGCGTCATATACCGGCAAGGAGATGACGCTAGTGGTGGAGGAGACGGTGGTGCAGCGGGGGTTGCAGGGGCGTTGTCTGGGCCTCACCTCTGACAACGCCTCTTCCAACATTGCCGCCTTCAGGCGGTTGTTGGAGGAGGGTGGTGGTTGAGGTTTCTTCAAATCTCGCCTGCACTTCAGGTGAGCATGGGTGTTGAGGTGTGTGTGTGTGTGTGTGTGATATCTGGGTGGGTTTGATGGGTCGGTGTTGCAGATGTGTGTTGGTGGACGGGTGGGTGGGTGTATTTGTGGCACTCCAGTGGTTGGCATTGACCATGTGTCACTACCTCTCGCACCCCATGCCACTGCACCTGTTTTCCGCAGGTGCTTGTCACATGTGATAAACCTTGCAGTGCAGGCAGCTTTATCTGAGGATGCCATTCGCGACCTGCTGAAGGTGCTCAGAGATATGCGTCTTGGATTGGGTATTCGTCGCAGCGCTCGGCAGCGTTTCTGGGCATCCAGAGGAGCTTGAACTTGCAGGCCCGCGTCAACAAACCGGCGTTGAAGCTGGTGTCGGACAGTCCAACCCGCTGAGGCTCGACTTACGCCATGGCCGACCGCGTCCTTCTATTGCAGAACCCGATCACAGTGTTCTTTGCCTCGACCCAAGTATGGTGTGGAGGGTGGCATGTCCTGGTGTGGCATGGTGTGACATGGAGTGGCATGGAGTGGCATGGAGTGGCATGGAGTGGCATGGCGTGGCATGGAGTGGCATGGAGTGGCATGGCGTGGCATGGAGTGGCATGGAGTGGCATGGCGTGGCATGGCGTGGCATGGAGTGGCATGGAGTGGCATGGCGTGGCATGGCGTGGCATGGAGTGGCATGGAGTGGCATGGGATGGCATGGCGTGGCATGGAGTGGCATGTCGTGGCATGGAGTGGCATGGCACAGCATGTCGTGGCATGGAGTGGTACCCGTAACGCTCAATTTAGCCTCTAATTCTAACCCTTTCCCCCATGCCATACGACTCACTAAACCCGGACAGGGCTTGGCGAAGGCGGACAAGGAGAAGGTGGAGAAGTTGCGCCTGTCAGACGAGCAGTGGGACTTGTTGAAGGAGTTGAGGACATTTCTCAGCCACTTCAACAAGGTCTCCAAGGCAGCTGAGGGGACGGCGTACCCGACAGTGTCGATGGTGGTGCCGTACTACAATGACCTCATCGACGCCATGGAGTCGCGCCTGGCCAAGGGGCCATCGGCGACGCTGCGGCCGATGATCTTAAAGGCGCTTGACCCCTTGAAGAAGTACGCCTACATCAGCAGCAACGAGCACTGGATCGCCACCTTCCTGGACCCATCCATGAAGGCGACGTGGTTCGACGACGATCACTGAGAGAAGCTGCATCCAGGGACAGAGCAGAGGGAGAGGCCTCGCCCCGCGTCAGGCGTTATGATCGCGCTTGTACGAGAGCGCGTGGCCGAGTACCAGGCGGCCGATAGGGAGCTGGCTCCACCTCGGCCCACTACACTTGCCCCCGTGGTGGAGGAGCAGGAGGGAGAGAGTGGGGATGATGATGACGACCAGTATCGCCCTAGTCGCCGACGACTTGCGGCGCGTCTCTCGGCGAGCCAGGAGGCGGGGGGGGTGGGCTTGTGCAAGATGATGAGGTCAGCAGGTACTTGTCCGAGCGGGTGCGGTATGACGTGTCAGCGCTAGAGTAGTGGCGCACCGCCACCAATATGGAGACGCTGAAGCGGATGGCCAGGGATTATCTCGCCATCCCTGCCACGTCTGCTGCGAGCGAGCGCGTGTTCTCGCTGGGCCGCAACCTCATCTCCTGGAAGCGGCACCGCTTGAACTCCGAGAGGTCGCGAGCCTGCATGGTTCTTAGATCTGTCAACGGGAGTTGTTGTTGGCCCCGTCCTCGCTTGGGCGGAGCCGACCTCGGGGTCGGGTGTGAGGAGTGCAGCCGACCTGCAACAGTGGGCGAATTGGTCGACGGGCCTGGTCGACCTGCACAAGGGCTACTGCAAGGGCGCCGACTTTGGGAGGGCGCCAACTTCGGCTGGTCGACTTGGGAGGTCGACCAGTGGAGGGCGTCGACTTGGGTGACGCAGACCAGGGGAAGCCGACTGGGTATGGTCGCCTGACAGGTGTACTGGTCGACCTGGAGTTGGTCGACCAGGTGGGTTGTCGACCTGGAGTTGGTCGACTAGGGGAGTGGTCGACCTGGGCGGTCGACGGGCCTGGGATGACACACCTGGTCGACATGGTTGCCTGGTTGACCAGGTTACCCGGACGACGAGGTCTGCGAGGTTCGCGACTGTCGCCCAGGTAGATTGGCAATGTCGACCTGCGGTTCGGTGGCACGTGGTCAACAGGACTCCTCAGGTGCAACCGTCGACATGTGGTCGACTTGGCACCTGCGCAATGTGCGTGGCGGTGCATGTCGTTACCGTCACCTTGCACCTGCGAAGTAGGTGCGCACACATGAGCACGTGTGGTGACCTGTGGTGGCCTGTTGTTGGTGTGCTGGCACGCCAGCCTTGCAGGTTGACTGAGGACGCCTGAGGTCGACCAGCTGGCAAATCGCCTTCGTCCTGAGCTGGTGGTCGACTTGTATGCTAGGCTTCTGATGTAGTCTACCTTGCCAATCTAGTTGCTACCATTGTTCTCAACTTTTGCTAGTGAAACTCTTGCGGTTTTGCCCTGTGAACTAGACATGAGCACAAGGGCGAACACCTGTTCGGTTCGCCTCGAACGTGTTCGAGGCGAACCGAACAGGTTTGTTTTTTTTCGCTTAAATTGTTCGCCGAACAGTGTTCGATGTTCGCCCGAACACGTTCGTGTTCGGGCCGCTGCTGCAATTTGCCCCGCGACGAACACGAACGTGTTCGAGGTTCGCCCGAACACGCCTTCACAGGCGAACGGCGAACACGTGTTTTTGCTTAAAGTGTTCGCCGAACCGAACAGTGTTCGGTTCGGCAAACGGATGTGTTCGTCTAGGGGCGAACACGAACATGTTCGTGTTCGCCCCTTGCTCATCCCTACTGTGAACGCACAAGTGCTAGAAAATGACTAAGTGAACGAACGCAGAGATCCCTCCTACCCCGTGCCTAGCCCGTAGTCTAGCTCCCGTTGATAGAGTTATCTCCGCAAGATCGTGGTATGGCTCGCACCCTGGCCAGAGGATCGGCGAGGGCCGCCGACCGAGAGGGGTCGCAGCACTGGAGATCGCTATTGAGGGCGAGGTTGCGGAGGACGACGAGGAGGAGGAGGGGGGGGCGGACGCTGAGGAGAGTGAGGCTGGTGGTGGTGGTAGCGGGGAGGAGACCAGGGAGTAGATGTGGTTTTGTTGGTGTGCGTTCGATGGGGCCTTTGTTGCCTTTGACTTTTTAGAGAGACCATGGAGATATAAATTGTTGACACGTTATTATAACTCGTTGTAGTTAGTATGAACACGTTACACGTACACCAAATCACTGTCAAACCATCTTCCAATGTTTAGGGATGGTTCAGCCCCTTTGTATCCATGTCTGACTATAACGAAATACTCCCTTGGGCGAACACGAACGTGTTTGCCGCGAACACGTTCGTGTTCGCCATAGTGTTCGAGATGTTCGCCCTCACAGACAAACCTCGAACACCATTTTTGGTAAAAGCTGTTCGGTTTGCCGAACGGCAGTGTTCGAGCTGAAGCGAACGCGAACACGTTCGTGTTCGCCTCTTGCTCATCCCTACCCGTAGGCGACTGGAGGGCGACTCCTGTTGATGGGCCACCTGTGTTTCATTTCATCCCTTTGTGCTCGCCGAAAGGGATGCCTCATCCCTCTCACCCGCCGCTGATCCTCGTATCACCCCCTGTGTTCTCTCTCTTTTTCTCCCTCCTTCTCTTTCCTCCTGTGTTTTTCTCTCTACTGCCAGCGGCGTTTCTCGAGGACTGCCAGAAGGCATGGGGAAAGACGTTTCCAGGCTGGGCCAGGGGTGCTACATGTGACACAATCAGCGGGGTCAGCTGCAACGCTCTAGGCATGATCACAAAGATGTACGTGTGACAATGTATGGTTAAGTCTAGATTGAGTCAACTCAATACTCGGTGCTACATGTGATACGATTAGCGGGGTCAGCTGTGACGGTGCAGGCATGATTACAAAGGTGTACGTGTGACAATGTATCGTTCAGTTTGGATTGGATTGGATTGGACCCCACATATGCTGTTGCTGGTGCCCCACATGCTTATTGTGACACAATCAACGGTGTCAGCTACGCCCATACTTCCCTCCCCCTTTTGTTTTTCAATCCTTCTGCCCCCCTCAGATTTCTTCTTCCATCTGAATGTCCTCAACCCTTTGTTTGCCCCCCATACGCTCGCAATTCTCATTCCTTGTTCTCTTCTGAGTGCTACACAAAGCTCCCCACCATTCTCGTATTATTTCCCTCTTGGGATGCTTGTGTGTGCTTGCTGTTCTGGCCCTCAGTCCATTCCCACTATGCTCATCTCCTCTCTTCACTTCTTTCGCCCCAACTCCCCTCTCCCACACACACAGGACTCTTACAGACAACAGTTTGAAGGGCTCCATTCCCAACAGGATCTCCGAGCTTTCTCAGCTCACCCTTCTGTATGAAGCACTCGTTCCAGCCTGGTGATAAAAACGAAGATGATCAAAGATGGCATGAACTCGAAACCCTCGAAAGAATATCCTTCGTCTTGTCACATAACCTAGATGCCACATGCAAGGAGGAAAGCAAGGTCCGCGCAATTGGCAGCCAAGCCAGGCTGAACATCCCGCAACTCCTCTTCCTGGCTCCCCTCCTCCCAGCCCAGGCCCGGGATCAACGAGAACCACAAATTTCAAACTGGGTGTGCGTCAGTTCGACTTGAACCATTGCCTCGAACCGAACTGCGATCCGGTTTTGGTCATGCCTGGCTCCGGTTTTGGGCATGCTCGTCTCATCGCCCGCTTGGGTCGGCCGTGTGTTCTTGCTGTCGCTCAGATGCCATGCCTTGTATTCCCATTTCATCACTTATTCTGCCCCAACCCACACCACGCACACACAGGGATCTTTCAAACAACTCTTTGACGGGATCCATTCCCAGTGGCATTTACTTGCTTCCTCAGCTCTCGTATCTGTATGAACCTCCTCTCCTCCTTTGAGCCAGGTGGTAACCATGCATGGTAAAAGATCACAACCAAACAAGAAAACAAACAAGGAATTTCGGGTGATCAAGATGCATATGGCCACACCAATGCCAGCCAAGCCAGCCTGCATATCCCGCAACTCCTCTTCCTGCCCCCCCCCCCCCCCTCCCAGCCCAGGTAAAAAAAGAACCGCAAATTTGGCGAATTAGGTGTGCAACTCCAACTGGTTTGGCCAATTAGTCTCGAACATGAACCTGCTTGCCTCAAACCGAAGTGCCTGTCTCCCACCATAATCGTGTGTGCTTGCTGTTGCTCAGTTTTGACTTGAGCAGACTTGAGCTGTTCGTTTCTCGTCTGACATGTTTGAGGCGAACCGAACATGCCTTCCTTTTTTTCGACCTTTATGTTTTGGTCGACTTCGTGTTTGACATTGGTTGCTATGAACACAAATGTGTTTGTCTCCAATGCCCCACGACAGAAATATTTAGGTTGACGAGACGTTTTGATCGAGCTCATTCTTTAGCTCGATCTTAGTCATTTTCATTCCTAGAGCCTAACCCACCAGCAGCAGCGTTTAGCATACCAGTGTACTCGTCAACGGACGAGGAGCACTCCTCGCCCACCCAGACCCGTCCTCCAGCGCTGCATCCCCGCCCTCTGTCCCCACGGGCGCCTAGCCGTGGGGTGGAAATTCCACGGCTAGGCAGTGCTCGCCCTTGCTCATCCCTCAACTCCTGTGTGGGTGGCGATGTGTGGTCGAGGCTGCCTCAAGCCCCAACCGCTATGGAGTGTTAGTGACGTGTACAGGTGCACCTCACAGCCGCAGTATGCCGTGCCCGGATCTGGAACTGGGGGGACGTTGCTCGAGGCACCAGTTACGTAGTTCGTGTTCAGTCCATACCCACTATTCTCATCTCCTCACTTATTCCGCCCCAACCGTACCACGCACACACAGGTCTCTTTCTAACAACAGTTTGACGGGCTCCATTCCGAGCAACATATTTACACTCCGTCAGCTCGCTTATCTGTATGACACACCTCGTTGAGTGGTAACACATTGAGCAAGCCGAGCAAGACCGGGGCTAAGTATGCATGATGAGTTGTGACACCTTTACTGGGTAATGTAAGGATTTCAACCCCATCAATTAGAGGCCCCTTCATATCTTCTGGTTTGAAGGGCTGAATGCATTTCGGGCCTCAGCCTCCCATGCATATTCTATCTAACCCTTGCTGCGATCACTGCTTCTATTCAGTTATAAGGTTGAAATATACTCGTTGAAGCTATTGACAGGCACTAGGATCGTCTTTCTTCCACCCCCTCTAGACCTCGCCTCGTCCAGAGGTGAACTCATGCAAGCCTTGCTGTGAGCTGAACACGAGTTTTTTCAGCCAGATACACTCGCACAAGTGTGTCCTGTCACAATAACAGCCGCGCTGAGCGTACTGGCCGGGCTCGGACCGAACTGCGATACGTTTTTTACTCATGGTTGCCTCCCAGTAGAGATGACCAACAGGCAAACACGAGCATGTTCGGTTCTGCAAAAGAGGTGTTCGGGTGTTCGTCTTTGGAAGCGAACCCCTTGACGTTCGCACCGAGCACGAGCATGTTCAGGGCAAACCAAACAGGTGTTCGCCCTTCTGCTCATCTCTACCTCCCAGGCATGAGCAAAAAAGCAAACCCACCCCTGTCAGTAGCGAACCCATTCGGTTTCTTTCACGTTCACGCGAACCCAACAGGGTTTCGGCAAAACCAGCGCGTCAATTTTGCATGCTCGTCAATGTTGAGCTTTACAACGAGCTCAAACTTGGTGATTCGACATTTCGCCAAAATGGTAAGCCAAACCTGCGCTTATCGCGCTTTATGGTAGCATTTGGAGAAGCATCAGGATTAGATTATTAGAAACGGTAAGCAAACGTACGGAAGGATAGTTTTTGGGTACGGTTAGATTGCTGAAATTAGGAAGGATATGTCCGAGGTAATCACTCGCTGCCCCCACCGCTTGGTTCCACTGTCCGAGGTAATCACTCACTGCTCCGAGGTAATCCCCACATATCCTCTCATTACGAGGATATTTGGGGATTGGTAGGGAAGGAAGGTGATGTGAGCAAGGGAAGCTAGGTTAGAAGGAGGTTGCATGGAATTGACCTCAAGGGAGAGGGAAGAATACAAATGTTCGAGTGAGTTCGAGACAAACTAATTTGAGTCCGCCTATTGCTCATGCCTACCTCCCACCATGCTCGTGTCATCTCCCTGTTGGGTCGACCTTCGTTTGCTTGCTGTCCAGTCCCCGCCCATTATTCTCATCTTGTCACTTCCGCCCCAACCCATACCACGCACACTCAGGTCTCTTTCGAAGAACGATTTGAAGGGCTCCATTCCCAACAGCATCTCCGTGCTTTCTCGTCTCAAGTATCTGTATGAAGCACCTAGTTTCAACCTTGTGCTACACATGCAAGATCAAGGCACTTCATCATCTGTTTAGTGTTAAAGTAGAATGGTATTCTGAGCATTTAGATTTAATCATATTAAAGAAAAACCGTTGAGAGAATAACCTTAGTCACATAACCTATGTGCCAAATGCAATCAAGGAAGCAAGGAGTTTCGACTAATCAAAGCGTATATGGCCATGCAATTTGCAGCCAATCATGGCTCAGGGGTTTTCCCTGGATATCCCGCACCTCTTCCTGGCCCTCCCGTTCCCAGCCCAGGTTCGAGGTGAACCAGAGATTTGTGAATCTGGTTGTGCGACTTGAACCGAACCGAACCGAACCGAACCACGATTCGTTATTACTCATGTGTACCTCCCACCATGCTCATCTCATCTGCCGATTAGGTCGACCGTGTGTGCTTGCTTTCTAATCTTATCTCCTTACTTATCCGCTCTTACCCATACCATGCACACACAGGTCTCTTTCAAACACAGGTTTGACGGGATCTATCCCTAGTGGCATTTACTGGCTTCCTCAGCTCTCTTATCTGTAAGAAGCTCCTCCTTTGAGCTTGGTTCTAAGCATGCATGGTAAAAAAAATCGCATGGCCTCTAAAACACTCAAGAGAATATCCTTGGTCACATAACATTTTCGGTTTGGCCCGCCTCGGGCCGTCAATGTATATTCGAGGTTCGGCCTGGGTGCAAACCGAACCGGTTCGCGCCGAGCAGAACCAGGTTCGGATTTTTGTAATTTCTACCTGTCTTTGCCTCCCACCATGCACGAGCAAAATTCGGGTGTGAAGTGTACTTGACTTGAAAGTCATACAAGCTTGCACTCATTTGAATTTTAGCCGGTGCCGCCCCCAGAAGATGAGGTTGCGGCCCATAAAAAACGCACTAGCGGCGGACATGCCTTGGATGGCAAGATAATCCCTCGCCATCTGCCGCAGCCCCGCATGTTCTGCACATAGCGCCAGTACTGCAGTGCTGACACAACCATCCCCACCCGCCCCCTGAATCGCCGACATGCAAGCCATAAGTCGCCTGCGGATAAGAAGAAACTCGTCGTCCTCGCCCTCCTCATCCCCTCTTTGTCCCCGGATCTTCCAGCGCTGCTGCTAGTGCCGACTAGGGAGCCAGGTGTCGATGAGGCCCCTCGCCCTTCGACAAGTTGTTTTGGTGCGCAACTGCGTCGAACGGGCTTCTCTGCCTTCGTGAATGATGCCGCACGAACTGCTGTAGGCTGCGAAGACGAACCTCACGCTTGTATGCGCGTGGTGCTGCATGGTGCAGTTCATGATTCCGGAGCACCACTGCTGTGGAAAGCTGGCACCGAAGGCACGCTGGTGGCTTCACCTTGGTGTCTCGTAAGCGAGCAAGAGCTGAGAAGTGCTCGAACTGACTGACAACTGCATGTCACTATCGTTGAGGCCATCTTCTATGAGACAATGTCGCTGGAGGCCTGGGAAGCGGAGCACGGGCACGAACTCGAGTTTCCCCGCCGACGGTTTCATCGCCGGCGACGATACAGTTGCGCCCCTCCTCCTCCTCCTCCTCCTCCTCCTCCTCCTCCTCCTCCTCCTCCTCCTCCTCCTCCTCCTCCTCCTCCTCCTCCTCCCTATGTTCCCACGTCGGTTCCACTGTCACGCCGTCAGCGGCCTCGCCGCCTACCGCGGTTGCTTTTCCTCCATCGCCCGTCGCCAACTTGCCTAAGTCGGCGTCTACGTCGGCCATCGGCGATGAGGGGAGCATTGGTACGCTGCCCTCGACGCCGCACATTGGCATCCTCGACGACCGACGTGACATGGTTGGCGTCGAGCAAGTCGGCGATGAAGGGGAGCCGTCTTCAGGGGAGCAGCTCAGCGACAGCTCATCGAGCGGCGAGGTGGAATTCCCGGTCGACAAGCCGGCAGTGTGACATTTCACCCGCTCTAACGTTGGTGTGCCTTTAGAGTGCTGGCACTACGCCTGCACGGCGTTCGCCAACACGCTTCTCGACGACGTGCATGCGGATGCTTCATTGCCCGAGTTCGTTCCCGACATGCTGGCTGATCCAGAGCGGCGGGACATCTTGATGATAACCGTCAAGGAGGCGATAGAGCTGGAAGGGCAAGGCGATGAAAGTGACGATAGACGAGGAGATATGGAGTCTCCTCGCCAACGGCACGTGGGAGCTCGTGCCTCGATCGCGCGACGTCGACGACACGGTTGCTTGCGACAAGACGCGTCTGGTGGTGAAAGGCTTCACCCAGGTCCACGGTGCCGACTACGACGAGAGGTATGCGCCAGTCAGCAATAGGGATGAGCCAGAGAGAACACTTGCTCGCTCGCAGCGGACGTGGCAGGGATGGCGAGATAATCCCTTGCCATATGCCTCAGCGTCTGCATGTTGGTGGCGGTGCGCCAGTACTCTAGCGCTGTCACGTCGTACCGCGCCCGCTCGGACAAGTACCTGCTAACCTCATCATCATGCACCATCCTACCCCCCCCCCCCCCGCCTCTGGCCCGCCGACAGACGCGCCGCAAGTCGTTGGCGACTAGGAAGAAACTGGTCGTCCTCGTCATCCCCCTCCTCTCCCTCCTCCTTCACAACGGGGCCAAGTGTAGCCGGCAGAGGAGAAAGCGCTGCAGCCGCAGCTTGGTACTCGGCCACGCACTCGCGTACAAGCGAGATCACCTCGCTGGACGCGGGACACGGCCTCTCTCTCCTGCGTGTCTCAGGATGCAGCTTCTCCCAGTGCGCGTCTGTCAGGCGTAGGCTGTCCGTCTTCTCCTTCTCCGCCTTCGTCAAGCCTTGTCCGGGTGAGGGTGTGGTATGGTGGGTGAGAGTTGTAAGAGGTTGAGGGGTATAATGCGCATTTTGACAACAACAGACAAGCTTGACCAAAAGCGTTGAGGGGATGTGTAACTAAACGCCCCGACAAACCCCCAAAGCAAGACCCACATGCCATACCTGGGTCGAGGCTGCGGAGAGTCACTGCACAACGGGAGTGGACTACGGTGTAGGGCACGGGGTTGTGCGAGTGATTGTAGCTTGCACTAGCGTTCTTACTGCTTGCTGTGTTCACAGAGAAGGTTTGCAAGAGTTTCCACTGAGGAAGTTGAAAGAACAATTTGCATTGAAAAGTTGATGGTACAATTGAGGCATGTAGAGCGATATGACTAGAATGGCATGCAACACCTAGTAAGGGCGAAATCTGCCAGCGCAGCAGAGGAGCGGCTTGCCAACGCTGCAGTAGAGTTGTCTGCCAGCGTTGCACTGCACGCGGTCTGCAAGCACTGCAGTCGCAGGTGACTATTTGCATTCGCAGGAAAGGTTTTCTATCTGCGCAGATGTGCGCACCTACCAAGTAGGTGCAGGTTGACGGTTTCACCATCAGGCACATTGCGCAGGTGCCAGGTAGAAAACGTGTCGTCGGTTTCGCAAGGTGCGCACCGTCGACCACATGATGCCGTTCCGCAGGTAGAACTTCGTCAAAACCTCCTGGGCGAAAGTTCGCACGCCTCCGCAGAGTTTCGCACACCTCTGCGAAGTTGGTCGAACAACTCGACATCGCTCGGTCGAACAGCGTTCGCCGAGCAGAGCTCCTCGACCCGAACTCTTCGACCAAAGTTCTTCGACCAGAATCGTCGTCCAGCGCTCTTCGACGGGAGCTCGTCACGCAGAGATAGTCGACCAGATTCTGTCGAGCAGAGCCTGCTCGACCGCAACTTCCGTTGAACTGCAGAAGCCCATTACGTCGATCAATCCGTCGCGAACCTCTCGTCGATGGCGAGATCGGCCGCGCCCAAGCGAGGGCGGGGCCTTTCGCTTCGACAAAGGCAAAAAACACAGTGATGGGGTTCCGCAGAACAACGGTGCGGTCGACCATGTCGTGGGTCGAGCCCCACCTCACAGGACTGTCCTGCACCAGCTTCAACGACGGTTTGTTGTTGTTGGCCTGCAAGTTCAAGCTTCGCTGGAGCCCCAAGAATGCCCCCGAGCGCTGCGGCGAGAAACCAATCCACGACGCCATCTCTCTCAGGATACGCAACACCTCGTGTATGGTCGCCACAGACAGCGCTGCCTGCACTGCAAGGTTTATCACGTGTGCCAAGCACCTGTGCGCGGAACATAGCAGCAGTGGCATGGGGTCGGGGACTTAGAGACACATGGTCGATGCCACCCACAAACCCACACCTTAACCCACACACTCTCACACCCAAACCGCAACGCCCCACACCCCCACACACAGACACATGGTCAAGGGTTTAAGCACACACCCACACAGGCACACACCCACCCACACGCCCAACCCACGCACACTCCCACACATACCAGAAGTGCATGCGAGATTTGAAGAAGCCCCACACTCCCACCCTCCTTCGTCAATCGCTTGAAGCCAGCAATGATGCGGAGGCGTTGTCGGTCGTGAGACCAAGACAACGCCCCTGCAACCCCCACTTCACCACCGTCTCCTCCACCACCTTCGCCATCTCCTCGCCCCCATGACACCCGTGCATCTCCCTAAACTTTGGCACAGCCGTGCGCTTCTGAAACGTCTCGTCTATCCAGTGACCCGTCACCACCAGCCATGCCTTGCCATTGGGCGCCCTCCACATGTCGATGCTGTATGGCACCTTGCACCCCAACCCCCCCTCCTTCGCCAGCAGCTCCGCAATGGCCGCCTGTAGAGCAGCCGCAGCAAACACCACGGTGTCGCGGGATACCGTCCAGCGCGAGGGGATGAAATTCTTCTCCCTGCAGTGGTGGTTGCACAGCATCAACAACTCCCGAAACTGGAGGGTAAGGGACACAGGGGGATGGAGTGGCACACGACTACCATCCCTCCATACCATCCTCATCACCCCGTTCAAACCATCCATACCATCCTGTCCAAATCATCCATTCCCTCCATATAGCCGTCATGTGGCACTCACCGCCTCGGCCTCGACAATGTGGAAGGGAAGGTCGCAAGTGACCACCAGCTTGGTAACTACCTGCCGTAGCTCCGCCTTGGAGAGCTTGGTTGTCATGTAGCGCTCGATCCCGCCTGACCCCTGCACCCCTTGCCCCGCCTTCCCTTTCTTCTTTGGGAGATTCGGCCAGCTAGTGGCATGCGGCCAGTCATCGACGTAGCCATCCGGCACACCCATGTAGCCGCCTCGTGGAAACGTCTCGCCAGGCAACTGAACGTGTGAAGTGTGGTAACGGTGATACCACACGTCCATGTGAGTGTCAGAATCCCAACCACTAGACCATTGGGATAAAAGGGCTTGTTAAGTAGCAGGTCAGTGCGCCCATAACTCCCCAGGCGAACGCGCCTGTAACCCCCCTAGGATCAATCGGGCATCCACAGTGCAGATCTACTGACACCCCTCCACACTGGGAGGCCAAGGACTGAGCACAGCGGCAACGGCCTACATGTGCATACACCGGGATTCGAACCCGAGACCGCTCTGATACCATGTCAGAATCCCAACCACTAGACCATTGGGATAAAAGGGCTTGTTAAGTAGCAGGTCAGTGCGCCCATAACCCCCTAGGCGAACGCGCCTGTAACCCCCCTAGGATCAATCGGGCATCCACAGTGCAGATCTACTGACAGTGAGCCGTGTGGTAGCTCTCGAAATGATGCTCGCCCGGTGTTGTAGTGGACCTCTTCCATGAAATCCTATTAGTACAAATCTTGCACTACCGCTTGTCATCACCCCGTTTAGGCCCGAACATCTGAACTTGCCACCCCGGTTTCTTCTTACCTTTGCCACTCCCCCTACTATTCTCGGACCCTCCCTCCTCGTCAAGAAACTCAGGAGCGACCACACCCTCTCCCAAACGCTCCCCAGTGAAGGTGCATGGATACACTCGCGGCCTCAACTTGGGAGTTCTCTTCTTCCGCTTCGACCTCCCATTGGACGGTCACTTTCTCCCCACCTTAACCCCCCCGTGCCCACCTCCTCCACCCACATGCTGTGAGGCCGCCTCCGTCGCTACCCCTCCTCCCTCGCCCACCCCCTCCTCCTCCTCCTCCTCCTCCTCCTCCTCCTCCTCCTCCTCCTCCTCCTCCTCCTCCTCCTCCTCTGACTCAAACCCATCCATCTCATCGTCTTCATCTCCCCCCCCTTCCCCACTGGCATGCGTCTCGGGATCCCACCCCGGCTCACTGTCATCCCCACTCCCCTCGTCCTCATCTTCCTCGTCCTCCTCACTATCACTCTCCGTCGTGGTAGTACGCGTCTGCCCAAAAGGAGGGAGTGGAGTGCCAGTGTAACCGAACGACTGACGGGATGTCAACGCCGACATGGACAGAAGCCCCCCAACGAAACAAGCACCGGCTCCTGCAGGACCGTCACCTACTCGCCCCTGCATCGGTCGTGGAGGAGATGTAGGTGTACCGCATTGACTAAGCTGTGCACCTCGTTCTACTGGACCTTGTTGGCGGGAGGACATTACCCTAAAACGACCACAAAATCCTAAACCCTATAATGGTAACGAACAAGTGCCGTGGACGCCACTAATGGCTTCCAATGTCCCTCTAATCACGGTCCTAATCTCCTTACGTCTAATCGCATGGAGAAATGTCCGCACCTCCTTGAGCATGGACCGCTCCAATCCCTAAACGCTAACTAACTAAGTAAACTACAAGTTATTCATGGTTCCTCCTTTCTAGTAATAGGTAATGTACGTGTACTCATTCTAAGATGGAGTATTGTGTCTCTTAGAGCTTCTAGGTAACGGCGGTTGTGGGCGTTAAGGGGCTGGCGCTATGGTCGCGATGAGTTTGAGCTAAAAAAATGAGCTCAAACTCAAAGGGTTGCGACCTAAATTTGGTCGCGGGCCAATTCGTCAACGAACACTACGGTGTTCTTCGATCGTGTTCGACGAGGCTCGGCCAGCTGCGAGAGGCGAATGGCGAACGTGTTCGTGCGAACACCGAACACGTTCGCCACGAACAATTTTGGGTAATTTGAGGCGAACCGAACAGGAGTTTCGTTTCTTTGCTCATCCCTAGTCAGCAGCTACGTCACGTTGAGGATATTCCTCTCCATCGTCGCCGTCCTTGACCTGCACCTCGTGCAACTCGACATGAAAAACGTCTATTTGCAAAGCAAGTTGGACCGCATGCTCTACAATCATCAGTCGTCGTATTACATCGACGGTACAAACGTGTGCACTGAAGAGCTTGTACGGCCTCAAGCAAAGCCCGCTGCTGTGGTATTCGGCGCTCGACGCCGTGTTGATCGGCGCCGGCTTGAGCAAGAGTCAGGTCGATGAAGCCCTCTTCTTCATAGTCAGCGCCAACGGAGTGGCTTGTTGGGTGCTTGTCTACGTCGACAACCTTCTTGCCGCTAGCAGCAGCGTTGCGATGCTGAAGGAGCTGTGCGAGCTGCTGCAGCACGCCTTTGAGCTGCACGAGATCAGCTTGCTGGAGATTGTGCGCTAAGAACGTCAGCTCGCGCAGGCATTCGACAGAGACCATTATGTTCTCACAACGCCGACCAGACTGCTCCTCATTGACGAAGCGCCTGCGCAGCTTGTTGATGTACGGCTGCTAGTGGAGCCACAGCTTTCGTGTAGGTCGGCTGCGCACAAACACTTGAATCCTAGTTTTGCAAAATTAGTTTGACCCAAACCGAACATGTATGGTTCAGGTAATACAAACAGTCGAATTAGTTCGAGACCAGCTAGTTTGAGTTCGCCTTTTGCTTCTGCTACTTCCCCCACCATGATCGTCTCATCCCCCAATTGGGTCAACCCAGCGTGATTTTTGTCCCTCAGTCCATGCCCTGATTCTCATTTGCTCACTTATTCCAACCCAACCTTTACCACGGACACACAGGTCTCTTTCATACAGAAATTTGATGGGCTCCATTCCCAGTATCATCTACGGGCTCTCTCAACTCTTTTATCTGTGTGAAGCACCTCGTTCAAGCCTGGTTCTAATCATGCATGATCAAAGGTCACATGAACCTTAAAACCTGTTGGAGTAGGCTAGCCTTCCCTCTGTATTTTGATCTGGCCTTAAGTTATATTTTTTCGGCCACTTTTGGACTTAGTTTCATTTTAGGTTTAGTTTAGGTTCATTTGGAGTCTGTTTCTAAACTGAACAAACCCTAGGCTCAGTTGGGGTTTCACAACCAACTCTATGACTTTGTACTCAGATATATCCAATGCAACTTTTCTCTAGCTACTTTTCCTCTCACTAGCCATGACTTCCGCAAACCTAATTGTAACAAAACCCGCTATAGAAAATTCTTCGATGCTATAAGGAAGCAAGGAAATGAGGTTTTTTTTAGTAATCAAAATGTATATGGCCACACCAGTGGCAACCAATCCAGGCTAAATATCTCTACACTCCTCTTCCTGGCACTCCCCCTCCCAGCCCAGGTTCGAAGAGAACCACAGATTTGTCGAATTCAGATTTGAACGATAAACTGATCTTCGATTCGTTTTTTTTTTCTTCTGCCAACCTCCCACTGCTCATCTCATCCACCAATTGGGTTCACCGTGTGTGGTTGCTATCATTTGGTCCATGCCCTCTAATCTCCTTAATTGTTCCGCCCCAACCCATGCCACGCACACACAGGTCTATTTCAAACACCGCTTTGACAGGATCCATTCCCAGTACCATTTACTTGCTTGATAAGGTCACTTATCTGTATGAAGCTCCTCCTTTGAATGAACCTGGTGCTAAGTATGCATGGCAAAAAATCACATGACCTCTGAAACACTCTGGAGAATATCCTTGGTCATATAACCTAGTTGCCACAGGCAAGCAATAAAGCAACGAGTTTTGGCCGCTTTTTGGGAAATTAGAACATGTTCGGATGAATAACCTGCAATTCCGCTTTTTGGCCGTCCCCCTCTCAGCCCAGATTTGACGAGAACCACAAATTCTTCAAGCTTGGTGTGCAAGTCGAAACATTCGGGCTATTTTAATAACACATAAAACTGTTTGCCCCGAACCAAACCGCGATACATTCTTTACTGGTGTTTGCCGAATGAAAAAGCAGTTTCTGTCAAATACGATCCTTTTGTTACGGTCGTATTGGAAAAATAAGGCCGTTTTTTTGTTAGAGAACTCTGGCCACCAAAACAAAGATGTTTTCAATCATGGACATGAAGGGCAACATGCAGGAAAGGGCTAAATACAGCCGTTTTCTATGATACCCTTTTCTACAGCAAATTTTGAAAGACCGCAAAACCTCTGGACTATTCCTGCAATTAGGAAATCTAGCAGGCCGTCCATATTTAAAAGCTGAGATGACGATCTTTCATTTGTGCAGGTTCGGAGTTCTACATCAGTGCGGTAAAGTTCGATTGTGAGGCGAAAATTGGTTGGGGAGTTTCTTTGATGAGATTGTTGGGGAGCAGATGGGCATCTCGAGTTCGACGGGCTAAGATTCGTGTAGGAAAAACGTAGAGAATAATTTATCGTCCCGATGTTCTGGACAAGGGCCCAAAATTGGTTTTGGCCCACCCTGACTAATCAGGGTTTCAGACCTGCTCTACCTCGACTCATAGGGAAAAATATTTCATACCCTGCCAAAAGCAGCCTAAAAACACTTGTACGCTGATTATGACAGTGTAAAAATGTTCACACAGGTCTGAGAAATTATTTGCAGTGTAATGACTACCCTGATATTTTGGGCCCTGTTCTGGACACTGGAAGCTCACTAGACAGGGCGACGAATACAACATATTTCCAATCTCGTGGGCTTAAATTGTCCAAAATGATGATCATTGGATGCAGCGCCGTTGAGGGACCTTTGTGGAGGCGCGCCTAGGGTTAAGTTCTGTCCAAAAAACCGTTTTCAAGTTAAGGGAAACGGAATGTCCTGGTTTGCCTTGTTATTTAGGGCAAATACTATTTAAGTCGTATCGTAAGTATGGGATGCATCTAATGACGGGAGGTGTTGCTGGTTATTGTCTAAACTAAAAGCTATGATGGGAGGGAGGGTGTCGTATTTAGGATACATCTGGAGTTGGCTGACGTGAAATGGCAGCCAACCCTATGACTTCCCGCTTTTGACAGAAACGTAGAGAAGTTCGACGGGGCCCTTATCGAACCAGGAAAGTTCAGCCGAACTGGTCAAATCATTTGATTTCGACTGTCCGGGGCGGAACAAAAAAAGTTAGGCCAAACTGCTCGGCCAAGCTTTCTTGAGGCTTGCCAAACTTTTGTCGTGGGAATAAATTTCGGTTCGACAGTCGCCAAACATGGTTGACCGGACCGAACTTAGGTTCGGCTCGTTGCTCATATTTAAGTAGAGGTATGCTGAACACTGCTGCTGGTAGACTAGGCTCTAGGAAGGAAACTGACTAAGGTCGAGCTCAAAAATGAGATTGATCAGAATGTCTCGTCGACCTAGTTTTTTTGGTTGCGGAACATCCGTGACGAACACATTTGTGTTCGATGCAGCCAATGACATGTTCGAGGCGAATGAAACAGTTGCTCGACTCCCTGCTCAAGCTTAGTGGGGGATTGGGAGAGGATGGTGATGTGAGCACGGGATGTTATATTTGGAGGTTGTGCGGAATTGATCTCGAGGAGGAGGGACGGGTTTTGCTAAATCAAATTTGAGTCGAAAACAAGGGATGTGCGAATCGAATCTACCTAGAACGAATGGTCACTCAAAAACGAACACGTATGGATTTGGGTCAAACAACTATGTGTTCAAACCAAACTCAATACTGGTCAATTGTACAACCGAACACTCAAACTTAGTTCGCGAAACTTTGTTCGACCCAAGCCGAGCTCGTTCCGTTAAGGTAGTACAAATGTTCGACTGAGTTTGAGACAAACTAGTTGTAGTTTGTTTTTTCATCGTGCCACCACCACCCACCATGCTCGTCTCATCCCCCAATTGGGTCGACCGTGAGTGCATGCTGTCCCTCAGTCCATACCTATTCTCTTCTCCTCAATTCCAACCCAACCTTTTACCACGCGCACACAGGTCTCTTTCATACAACGCTTTGACAGGCTCCATTTCCAGTGATATTGACAGGCTCACTCGACTCGCTTATCTGTATGAAGCACTTAGTTTTAGCTCGATGCTAAGTATGCATAATCAAAGTTCACATAAACTTTAAAACCCGCAAGAGAATGTTCCTAGATGCCATAAGCAAGCAAGAAAACGAGGAGTTTTGTGTAAAAACGAGTATGTAGCCATGTCATCAGCAGCCAACCCAGGATGAATATCCCGCAGCCTCATCGTGGCCCTCCCCCTTCCAGCCAGGTTCGACGGTAACCACAAATCTGTCGAACTGGGTAGGAGACTCGAACCGGTTTGGGCAACTGGAGTGGAACATGAACTTGTTCGCCCTCGAACCGAACTGCGATTCAGTTTTCACTCATTTCGAATGGTCCTTCCTTGATACAAGAGTAATACATCATGGTTGTTTCATAAAACATGTGATTTGTAGTTTGTGTGGGTGGGGTGTACAGCCACATCCCAACCTAACCCACATGTTATCAGCTGAAATCTTCAACCCACCAATTTGAGATTTCAGTCGATATTATTGGTTTTGCCCCCGATTCCCTACTCATCCATCTCGTGCCCATTTCTCGATGCACTTAAGAGCCTTGAGCTCATTATCTAATGCTTTAATTAGACCGTCAAACTCTTACAATCGGTTTTGCCTTGTGTAGGCGCTTGGCCGCGAGGTCGGCGCAGAGGCAGAGGTAAGTGAAGTCGCCAGGGGAGCAGTAGCCATAGGTGTCTGCCACCATCGCAACAATCCCACCCATTCCGAGCGGTGGGGGTATTTGCGCTCCTTTGCTCGTGCTGCTGCTGTTACCGCGTACCCCACTCCTCGATGCACGGTTGGGTCCTGGGGGGAAATGGAATCCGTGACGGCGACGTCACAAATCCATACCGCGTTGGAGTCGGGGTGGCAAATTGCTACGTCCGCCTTGAGCCCCTCCACAGGTGTGTAGAACATGGTCTCCTGCCGCAAACCCACATCGACAGCAATTCTTGTGCACTCGTCTTGGAGGGCATGATGTATTTCTTTGCGCCCTTCTCCGGTCCCACGGCATAGCAGATGGTTAGGGAGCCGTGGGTCGGAGATCTCCGTTTGTTCGCGGAAGTTGCATGCGCCCATCTCCTTCCTTCTATGGGAGCCCTAATCGGAAAGCCAGGAGGGAGTCGAAATGGTCGGGGGATAGGAGGCTGGCGGTGAACGGGATGGTCATGAGCCAGCCTACCATGCCGGGTCCAACGGCGGAGAGTAGCCGCTGCATGTGACCCATCAGCGTGTTTGGGTTCATGGCTTGGCTCTGCTCCAGAAACTCCACATAGCAAACTGTGTGGACTTGCAGGGCGAGGGCGTGCTGTGCCTTCATGTTGTCCGTGCCTTTGTGGAGGTGGACAACTGTGGGACGGGCTTCCGGTGGTAGGTTGCGTTCAGCAGCGGCGATGTGGGTCGTGAGGGCGGCTGCGGCTGGAATTGTCTCTGAGCATGGGATGAGCTGCGAGGCGGGCTGAAGAGCGGCATGAGTGCTGTGAGGTGTGGTTGCAAATCGTCGCTGAGCTGGTTGAGCAGCACTGCAGCGTTTGGTTGAACATCTTGTTCTGCCTTGACACTCCTGCCACCGCTGGGCCGACAGCTGGAATCTGCACGGGAGAGATGGAGGGTAAGAGGGTAAATGGAGAGGGGAGAGGGTGGGTAGAAGTGGAGGGAAGTAGGAGGAAGGGAGGATCTTGGAGCAAGTGGTAGGCGTTTGCTGAGGTGAGGTTGGTGAAGTGTCCTTCCACGGCTGGGTCGGTGATGCCAAGACAGCTGAGGGTTGAGGGCAGTGAGGCCTGCAGCCAGGTGCGCTCACGTTCACTGCTAAGGCGCGGGGCTGGCACAGTGGCGTTGCAGCTCTCTTCTCCCCACGCCGACCACTCGCTAGCTAGGAGGGTGTCTTGTGGTGTTGTCCTGATTAAGAAGCTGATTATTCTACTCACTCAGCGGCTCAAGAGTACGAGGCAGGCAACTCTGTGGATTAATTTGTGCCAGCAGTGTTGTTGGTGATGCCGCTGCTATCAGCCACTGGCGAACGAATGAGGCGCAGGCCGCTGGTAGGCCTACCGGGCTGCCCAGGACGCACAGCCTCGTCTTGTTGTAGGGGACTCCGTCTGGCAGGGTGAGTTTGCGTGACCGGAGTGGGGACCAGGCGGTGCTTTTCCCGGGGTTGTGCGTGTCCAACTACAAATGTTAGCTATACGCTAGGTTGAGTTATGCTGTGGAGAGAACAGCACATTTGCATTCCTACTTATACTCTTGCATGTTGTCATAATCATCATTCTCGTTCCGTTGGTTCTTTGACATGGTATTAGAGCGATGGTGTACCATGTGACGAAGACAAGGGTAGGAGGGGTGACTTAGGTGGTGGTGCCAAAGAAGCGACAGGTAAGTGAGCGACCCACACGAGCAGGACGCAACTACTTGATTCGAACCACCTACTTGAAAAGACTCAGTACGTAGAGTGTAGAGACCTGAGCCTGACGCCCGACGAAACGTGGCCAGAGGTGCCCTAGTGGTACTATCTGTGCAGGTGGCAACATGCTCGTGCGCAGGAAACGTGGTGGTGACATTGAGGTCATGAAGGTGACTGACACCCACCAAGTTCCTGGAGAACGAGTGGATGTGCAGACCTTTGAGAGATCC